ATCTCCTTGGAGAGGAGAGGATCCCAAAGAACCCAACCCTTGCTTTCCATGCTCACTCCAAGGTGCATCCCCCATCGTATTTTGATCTCAAAATTTCCTCTCTTCTCATCAGGAATGCGATACTGCCCCATGCACCCAAACACCCTTAACATGGTAACGTCAGGCTTTGCCCTATACCATGCTTCATACGGGGTTATACTTGACGGAAGAGCAGCAGTTGGGCGTCGGTTCTTGAGGTGAACGGCATGGTTGACGGCGTCTCCCTACCATGCATCACCTATCTTCATATTAAGGAGAAGGGATCTTGCAATTTCTTGCAAGGTTCGGTTAAACCTCTCAGCAATGCCATTTTGCTGGGGGGTGTATGGACATGAAAGGTTATGGCCAATGCCAAGGGATGAGAGATAAGACTGGAATGACTTACCCATGTACTCCCCCCCTCGGTCTGAGTGCAGGGCCTTGACTTTGAGGCCGTTTTGCCTCTCAATGTAGACTTGCCAGACTTTGAATGCATCAGGGACTTGGTATTTTGAGTGAAGAAGGAATACCCATGAAAAGCGTGTCTTATGATCAATGAGAGTCATGATGAAGCGCTTGCCTGTGCGACTGAGTGTGCGAGCTGGGCCAACGATATCACTGTGGACCAGCTCTAGGGGACTTGACACTTGCACATTGATGGGGGGATGAGGATGATGTGCATGCTTTGCTTCGACACACGTGGGGCAAGGAGACGAGGATGAGGATGACTGTGAACTTGAGGTGATAGTGAGACCTTCTAGGCTTGCATGAGCGGTGATGGACTTCATGGCTGACTCTCGTGGATGACCTAGACGATAGTGCCACATTTGGGGAGTAGTGGTCGTACCTGGATGTGGTCTAACAGTGGTTGCTGCAGCGGCGCTGTAGCCGTGGAGGCGGCGGTACTCCGGGTTCACATCGAGTTGGAGGCGGTAAAGGCGTCCCGCTCGCTCACCGCGAGCGATGACGAATCCCGACTCTGCGCGAGTCTGCACAGAACCACTAGTGAAGAAAATAGTGCAACCTTTCTCCTCGAGTTGCCCTACTGACAGCAAGTTGGCTCCAAGGTTGGGGACCAAGAGGACACCTGCGATGGAGACAGGCTTGCCAGTAGGGTTGAGAAAGGTGAGTGTTCCTTCGCTTGCAGTGGGAGTGGACTCCATGTTGGCAACTGTAACTGATGAGATTGATGTGGGGATAAGAGAATGAAGAAGAGAAGAGTTGGGTGTCATGTGTTGGTCACACCCACTATCCAAGTACTAGTAGCTGGGATCGAATGAAGATGTAGGAGCAGAGGTAGTCATGGCAAAGCTGATGCCTTGTGTAGTGCCTTGGGAGGAAGAAGAGGGAGTGGAGTTGGGAGTCGTGAATTGTGTGGCCTGTTGAGGCGTAAATGGGTAGCCTTGCATTGGTGGAGGGTTAAACATTGGGTATGGCTGCATTGGGTAATAGGAGTAAGGAAAAGATTGCTGGGGGAATTGCTGTAGATTAGAGGGTTGAGTTGAGGGAAATTGAGCAGGCTCTGATTGAGAGCTTACATCATGAGATAGAGAAGCTCTACCCTTGGCTGTAAGCATGTGAGGTGGAGGGGTCCAATTAGACAGCTTACGAGGGCACTTGAACCAAGGGTGTCCCCATTCATGACAGAAATGAAATGCATAACTGAACTTGCCGGACTGAGGCTTGGAGAACTAGGATGAACTTGAAGAGAATGATTGGTTGAGAGATGTATTGGGCGAGGGAAAACGTCCTAGAATAGATTGGTTGGAGGGCTTACTCGGTTGTGATTGCAAGTTCTTGCCTTGGTTGTTGTTGTACTTGCCGTGACCTTGAGTAGACACAGCAGCTGCCCACACTGGCTTGTTGTTCTCTTCCTTAGTCTTGGCTAGCGTGCGAGTCTGGTGCTCTCCAATGAGGGTGTTGAAGATGAAGTCGCGAGACTTTTGCTCCTCAGGAAAGGCTTGAATTGTGCTCCTCATCTGGGTCCACTCGGGTGTAAGTCCGGCGAGCAGGATGGTAAGGAAGAGCTCCTCTGGGACGACAACTCCGATGACTTCGGCGTCGCTGAGGAGGATCTCCGCGCGCTCCAAGTATTCAAGGAGTGTATCTTTTTGTTCCATTCGCAAGTTGGAGAATTTCCCCCACATTTCCGCCTTCGTGCTCTCGGTGCGTGGTTGATGGAGCCTTTTTAGTCTCTCCCACGCGCGCTTCGCACTGTCGCGATGACTGGCGCATGTCAGGAGCGACTTGACGTACTTGTCTTGAACTGAGTTGAGAAGGTAGAGGTAGGCTTCGGCATTCTTCTTTACCCATGCCGACTATTCTGTTTGAGGGGCTTCAGTAGAAGGAGGAGAAAGAGAACCAGAATAAACGGGCCACCACTCTAGGAGAGTGGCGGCCAATTGGAAACGGATGCTCCATGCTTGGAAGTCCCTCCCATTGAATCGTGACACTTCTAGTTTAGGAATAAGTGGGGATGGAGAAGACATTTGGATATAGGGGGGATAGGGATGAGACAGAAACAATGCGGTATCACCTCCTCTTGTCTTGGCGCCGCTCACTTCGGAAGAGCTAGATTCCTCTTGTGAAGTGGTGCGCTTTTGATTGTCGTACTTGACTGTGGGAGGCATGGAGAAGGAGAGAGGTGAGTGTGGAGCCTTTTATATCCCCCCCCCTAAAAAAAAAAAAAAAAAAAAAAAAAAACAAACAAACAAACAAAAAGAGGCTTTGCGAAAGCAAGGAATGAGTATAATACGTGGCTCTGATACCATAAAAGAGTTTGGATAACGACAAAAAAGAATAATTGCACGATTGAGTAGGACAAGAGTGCAATAGTAGAACTGTAGCGCATATAAATTGGATTATAATATGCTTGTAAGAAATAAGGGAAATGTACTCAAGCGATAAAAAAGAGACTTGTCCAGGGAGAGATGCTTGTGAAGGAGGTTGAAAGACTTACACTTGTGTGTTTTACAAAATAGAAGAGTTGTAGGATCTTGGGAGTGATTCTTGATAGAGGAGGACTTGCACTTGGAAAGGATCTTGAGTTTGGGAGAAGACCACAAGCTTGGGAGGAGACCACAAGATCGATGAGATACCACAATCTTGGATGTGGTTGAAGGAGAGGGTCTTGTACTTGAAGAGTAAAGGTGCCACAAGGTTGACTGCTGAAGGAGAGAATCTTCCTTCAAGCTTGTGGCTTAGTGATGCATCTTATACTCGAATTGGGTATAAGATGGACTAATGCTTGATTACTTTGCTAATCTAGGAACTTTGTGGGAGAACTCTGAGAGCATAAACTTATATGAAATAGGGTATAGTACAAGCCTTATAATCCATAGTGGATACAAGCACATGCATGGGAGAGAGACCACTCATAGTAGTCTAGGAAGAAAGGTAGCATGGTAATACCATCTCTAGAGGCATAGAACATGAATGCTAACAAGGAGCCTTTGTAGTTGTGTGAACTTGAGGGGCTTGAAGAAGACTTGAAGGGGAGCTTGAAGGAGAGGAGCTTGGAGATGCCTTGTTGTACTTTGAGAAACTTCTTGAGAAGTTGGAGAGGATTCTTGGTGAAGATGAATAGTAACGGAGCATGTGATGGTTGTTGAGCCTTCGGCGACTTGGAGTTGTAAACCATGTGGTGTTGGAGAGAAACTTGGATGAGTTGGAAAGGAAGGAAAGGAGGAAGAATGAAAGCTTTGTTAAGTTGGAAGGTGAGAAATGTAAGGAATCATGAGAGTCTTGTGTGATGATATGGCAACTTGGATGACTTGGGATAGGAAGGAAGGAAGGAATAAATAAGGGGCATGTGAAGGTTGATGAGTAGGGAAGGATGGAATGTGTTTGAGTCACATGTGAAGAGGATTATTGGTTGGATTAGATGACTTGGAGAATTCTTGATGAGTAGGAAGAGAGAGCACATGAAAAATGATGAAGAGTCATGTGCCTTGAGGTGGGAGTTGGAGATGAATAGGAGAATTGGTTGGAAGCTTGGTTGAGGTGGACTAGGAATGATTATGAGAGTTGGGGAAATTAATGAGTAGTTGGGAGGCCTTAGGTTGGAGGAGATGAGCTGGAAAAGTTGGGTTGGAATTTTGGTAGGTGGAGTAGGTTTGGTTGGTGGGGAATAGGTTGGGGTAGATGAAGAATTGTAACGAGCAATTTTGGAGGGGGGGGGATTGGAGTGGTGAGAGAAATGTGGCACGCGCATCGCGTGCCAGTCACAACACCTGCCACATCAAAGCGGGCCAACTTCGATTTCCCTCACATTATGCCCGGAACCCTATTCAGGTAGGCTCACTTTTGTAATATAGGTTAGAGTACAGCAGAAATTTGTTTCGAAATTTTGTGGCGGTTAGAACCCCTCGGGGTTACATCCCACCATTGACGCACGTTGGGGCATGTTCTTGCCAACGTGCGCGAGCAACAGATTTGGCAGGGGGATGGGCTGGATTCAAATCTTCCCGCGTTCCCCTCCCAAAGAATTTTCCGCGCAAACTCACGGTAGTCGTCGCATCTGGGTTCCGCCCATTAAGTCTGTTTTCGGCGATATCGTGCTGGACAGTGCCCATTTTTGGCAAAAATAATCCGCTAAAACCTAGAATTTCAACCCGTTCTCAAGCCGATTGTTTTCCGGTAACCGACGGGTTCGGAGATAACCGAATCCGTTTAATGAGTGTTCTCAACAGCCCCTGAAAGTACCAAATAATCTGAAACGTACCCATAAAGAATATTTGATGCTTCAAATGAATCAGGGGTTCGGATAAGCTTCACCCGCCCCTCGCTGAAATGAATCCAGGCCACCCCTCCAGTTGAATCTGCTGCTGAAGCAATGTGGAAAGGTCATGCGCCACGTGCGTCAAGGGCGGGACGTAACCCCGAGGGGTTCTAACTGCCACAACATTTCGAGACAAAATTCTGCTGTACTCTAGCCTAGATTACAAAAGTGAGCCTACCTGAATAGGGTTCCGGGCATAATGTGAGGGAGATCGAAGTTGGCCCCATCAAAGCGGCTAATCCTTCACCCTCTCGCTAGGGGACCTGCCGTCCGCGGGAAAGCTCGATTCAGAACAGTTGTGTCTTCACGGGGTGGTAGCCATCGCGCAGTGTGCGTCTGCTTGATCTTGCTTTCGTCAGTCTGCTTCCTGCGCCCTTCCCTTGCCCGCCGTAAACTTTCCTCCCCCCGCCGTCGATTCTCCTCCTCCCGCCGTCGATTCTCATCCCGCCGTCCCTTTGGTTTCTTCGCTGGCCCCCCCTCGCCTCCGCGCCTCCTCTGCGCTCGTCCTCCCGCCGTCAATCGTCCTCCCGCCGTCAACCGTCCTCCCGCCGTCAATCGTCCTCCCGCCGTCAATCGTCCTCCCGCCGTCAATCGTCCTCCCGCCGTCAATCGTCCTCCCGCCGTCAATCGTCCTCCCGCCTTCAATCGTCCTCCCGCCGTCAATCGTCCTCCTCCGCCCGCCTCGCCATTCACCTCGCCGCGTCGCTAGACCATCACTTACGACTCTCACCCCGTCTCTGCTTCTGCGGCATGGACCCCACGACTCAGAACACGCCACGTGGCGTGGACCAACAGTACCTCCATAACGACAGTGTAACCATTCGCCAGCGACTTCGCGAGCTGAAAAATCGCCTCAAATGTCGCGCGCAGGGGCTGTACGACGGCGTCGCAGCCACTCAAGGCCAGCGATGCGCGGCTGGTTACCACCACGGTTACGGGTCTGGTTACCACTACGGCTCCCTGCAAGCGTCGGTGGGGGCGGGCGGCGGGCGCAAGGGCGCGATGGTGACGGCGGCTGCGGCGGCGACGTCGTCGCTGGCGGCGGTGCGCGTGTTCAAAGGGAACAGCGTGCTCGCACAATTCAAGGCGCGATTTAAGGCGCGATTCACGGAGGCAACGGCGGGACTCGTGGCTGACACGCGGCAACCCGAGCTGCGGTTGGAGGGCAGCGGACCCATGCATACTGCCACGCTGGCTGCTGCTGACGTGTCATGCCGCGAGGGTGACAACGAAGCGGCGTCAATAGATCTGTCGGAGCGATCAGGCGGTGTGGGCAGAGAAGCAGGGATGGAGGCGAGGGGGCGGGGCGAGGGCGGAGAGTTGCAGTGGGTGGGCGGGGCGGGTGGGGCAGATGGGAGGAGGCAGGCGGTGGTGGGGATGGGCGGAGCAGGGGAGGAGGAGCAGCAGAGTGTGGGGGTGAGCATGGCGCAGTCAGTGCTGCTGCCGGTGCTGGGCACCGTGGCGCACGCCTTCATGCACGGCCTCAACTCCACCAAGGTGGCCACGTGGCGTCTGCTGCTGGCTGCTGTGTCGCGTGCTGTCATGCCCTGCCATCCCCATCGCCACTGCCACTCACTTGCTCTGCCCCCTCTTGCCCCCCTCCCCTCCCTTCCTCCTCCTCTCAACCCCAACCTTTCCAACGCACACTCTCCTTCCACGCCTCTCCACCCCCCTGTTCCCCGCCTCTCCACCCCCCTGTTCCCCGCCTCTCCTCCCCCCCCCCCCCTGTCCACCCCACCCCAAACCCACCAGGTCATCAACGCGCACAAGCTCACGGATGCCATCGCCAACCGCCCCCCGGGCACGCCACTCCTCACGGTACTGTCGCTGCGTTCTTGCCTCACCCCCTTTAGATCCGCCCTTCCCTTGCCCGCCCTTCCCTTGCCCTCCCTTCCCGCATCCGTCCCTCTCGGGTGCATGCGTTACGTCACTCAATCCCTCGCCACCAGGTGCGCACTGCCGTGCGTGCCCTCCGACACATCCACCTGCGCGCTCTGCCCCTCATTCTCGTGTCGTGTCAACCGCTCAAGTCACGTCCCGCCCCCGTTAGGCTGGACCCTGGTGCCGCTCCAGCCACGTGATAGCGAGGGACGACCCCCTGGACCCTGGGCATGGCAGCAGTGGCGCCCCCTGCCCTCATCGTCTCTGCGCTCATCGTCTCTGCCCTCATCGTCTCTGCGCTCATCCTCTCTGCCCTCATCGTCTCTGCCCTCATCGTCTCTGCGCTCATCGTCTCTGCCCTCATCGTCTCTGCCCTCATCGTCTCTGCCCTCATCGTCTCTGCCCTCATCGTCTCTGCCCTCATCGTCTCTGCCCGCATCGTCTCTGCCCTCATCGTCTCTGCCCTCATCGTCTCTGCCCTCATCCTCTCTGCCCTCATCGTCTCTGCCCTCATCGTCTCTGCCCTCATCGTCTCTGCCCTCATCGTCTCTGCCCTCATCCTCTCTGCCCTCATCGTCTCTGCGCGTCCTCCTCCCTGCCTACCACGTGCCGTGCGTTCCACCCTGCCGCCCCCCAGGTGTCGAACCACGTGGCAGCGATGGACGACCCGCTGGTCATGGCAGCAGTGGTGCCGCCGTCCCTCATGCTCGCCCATGCCTCCGCCCTGCGCTGGACCCTCTGTGCGTCGGACCGCTGCTTCTCCTCGCCGCTGCTCGCCGCCTTCTTCACGTCGCTGCGCACGCTGCCCGTGGAGAGGGGCGGGGGCATCCAGCAGCCGGTGAGTGCAGCATGGAAGGAAGTAGTGTTGAAAAAGGGGGGGGCATGCAACAACCGTTGGGCCCTGTGTGCGTCGGACCGCTGCTTCTCCTCGCCGCTGCTCGCCGCCTTTTTCACGTCCCTGCGCGCGCTGCCCTTTGAGAGGGGTGGGGGCATCCAACAGCCGGTGAGGATGGTGGGGAGAGGGCTGTTGCGTGGGGGGGAGGAAGACGAGGAAGGAGGAACGGAAGGGGGAGAGAGGAAAGTAGAGGGGAAGAAGGGTAGAGGCGAGGGGTGGGGCGAGAGACGAAAGGGACTTGGGGAAGACGTGAGCCGCCGCCCACCAATTTCAACCCCCCTGCACAACTTCCTTCTCTCGTCCCATGTCTCCCTCCAGGCATGCTCACAGGGAAGACAGGCACAGCGAAAGGTGCCACAGGGCACCAGAGCATGCTCACAGCAGCACGGCGGTTGAAGGAGCCGGTGCGTGCACCATCCTCCCTGAGGGCACTTATCAACCCCCTGTCTCTACGACCCCCCCCCCCCCTCCCCTCCCCCCGCCACCCTCTTCCTCTGTCCGTCTCTTCATCTCCCCACGTCGACAGGGCATGCTGGCGGCAGCGCGGAGGCTGAGCGAGGGCGGGTGGGTGCACATCTTCCCCGAGGGCACGCGCTCCCATGATGGCGGCCGCACCATACGGCCCATGCGACGAGGCGTGGCGTGGTGAGCGCAGGGGGGGTGGAGGGTAGGGGAGGGTGGGGGGAGCGTGGCACTACGAGGGGAGGAGGGTGTGTGTGGTGAGAGGGGAAACGAAGGGGGGCGGAAGAGCTTGGGGCGATGGGATAGGGTGCTAGGGGGAGGAGTTGGGTGTGTGCCCATGGTGGTGGGCATGTGAGAGGAAAAAAGTGCCAAAGTAAGGAAGCTGGATGGGGTGGGCGGGATTGATGTTTGATCCGAAGGGCCGGCGTTTTAGATTGTGCTCTGATGCATGTTTGCACTCAAGGGCATCAGTGCAGCATGCCTTTCATCCTCTGGAAAGTCCTAGCACATTTCTCGCATTATCCAACTTTTTTTTGTTCTTGTTGTGTACTCCAATGAGGCCTTATTGCGACTTGGTGTCTCCCACCTCCCTCTCCCCCCCAACTTGCGATTCCACCCACTTAATTTTAAGTTAACTCAAGTTTATGCCCGCTGCACGTTGGTGCCGCTCACCGTCCTTCCTCCCCACCATGACCCCCCCCCCCCTACATTGCCCTGCCAGGCTGGCCTCTCAGTGCGCCCAACAGCCGCTCATCATCCCCTTGGTGCACGTCGGCATGCACCGCGTGCAAGCTAGAGGACAAGCGCTGCCGGCCACAGGCCAACGGGTGGCAGTGGTGGTGGGCGATCCCATCGACATTTCGGATCTGCTCCACGCCTATGGCCATCAGCACCAGGGGCAGCAGCACCGCCACCACCACCACAGCCAGCACCACAGCCAGCACCACAGCCAGCACCACAGCCAGCACCACAGCCAGCATGCGCAGCACGAGCAACGTGCCATCTCCCACACCCTTTCTGACCGGCCCGGCGCCCATCCCCACTCCTCTCACCCTTCATCCGCCCCCCCAGCCGCCCTGCTGGACGCCATCTGTGGGCGCATCGGGGGCGAGCTGCAGCGACTGCAGGCGCAGCTGCTGGTGCAGGAGAGGCCGTTCCTCGAGGGGGATGCGCCCCTGGAGGGGCTTCCGCTGGTGGAGGGGGCTTTGCCCGTGGAGGGACGTGTGCCTTCCGTGCAGATGGCAGAGGCCATGGGTGCGGCAGAGGCAGGAATGGGTGACGGCAGCAGTGGCACTGGCATGAGGCGTGCTGACGTTGCGGCGTCCACTCAAGTTGCAGTGGAGGGCGGACAGGAGGGTGCTGGGCTCCATGGCAACCACCTGCAGCAGCAGCAGCCGTTGGGCCCACTTGAGAGCGGCATTCCGCACTGGCAGCACCCACTCTCCCCGCAACCAAGCAGCTGGATGGAGCCCCACAGGTGGCACCCCCTCGCGCTCACCTCCCACACACCCCGCGGCAGCTTTGGTGGCAGCAGCAGCAGGCGCCATGCAGTAGGGCTGTCACGGTGGGCAGCAGCAGCAGGGGAGGCGGTGGAGAGGCAGCAGGGGGCTGAGCGGCTGGCGGCGCTGTTTGGGTTCGCTGCTCGCTGCACCGTGGATGGCGGGCAGAAGAGGCACAGGGAGGCAGCCATGATGTGAGCTGGTCATGGGTCCATGGCGGCGGCGGCAGCAGCAGCAGCAGCAGCAGAAGCAGGGCTGAAGCTGCTGGTCGCAATGGGAAGCAGCAGCAGCAGCATGGGATTGCTGCTCTGTGTGCTGTGGGTGGGCAGCAGTGGAGACAGACAACACGGAGACCGCAACCCACAATGCTGGGAGTGCCAAGTGGTGGGAGATACAAATCTGTCGGGAGCACAGCAGGGGTGTAGCAAGCATGAGTACCGTATGTTGCTGGTGCGCCTGTCTGTACAGGTGGTGTGCGTGCGCAGGTCCAGTGCGGCCAGACAGGCCAATCCCTCTGGCATTCGTGTTGCTTTCTTGGTTACGGTAAGTCCAAACGCGGGTGCTGCGATGCCATCAAGTCGCATCTCTCGTGCGTCCGTATGGCGCCTTGCGTGCGCTCTCTTCCTTGCCATCCCCACAAGCCCTCTACATGTGCAGCCGTGCATGTACAGGCTTGATTTTTGTAGAATGGAGTAACCAACATCATTGAATGTAAAACGGGGCACCTGATTATGCACATTGACGTGTGAGTATGTGAGCAAGCCAATGCAGCCAACCTTGAACAAAGGCACATGAGAACGGGAGCTACTCTTGACTGGTGTGGGTCGCCGCCAATGTGAATGAGAACAGATGACCATGGATGCAGCATTGCTTGCGCCAGGTTTGGACACCATGCTCACCCATGAATGCACCATGGTGCATGAAGCTTGTGCTCGTTCGTGCTGCAGTGCAGCAGACAACGCCGTGGGGTGGGTTATTATGGGTAGTACCTAATTTGCACGTACAGTGGACAGATCACATGTCACCAGGAGAATGACAAGTCCACAGAGCAATCCTGGTGCGAAAGTTGTGATTCCAGGCCACCTGGATGGACGAATGCCGTGGCGTGGCACAAAAACAGGTGGCTGTGGTGGAGTGAGAGGCCGTGCTAGTCTGTACAGGAGGAACGGAATGGACTAGTATGGAAATGGAACCCTCTGTTCTGTTCTATGAACGACGCCATCCCCACCAGCATTGACCAACAATGCCGGCCAAGCTGGGTGGAGCAATGCCTGGGCGGCACAAAAAGGGTGAGTGGCTGGCGGGCATCAGGAGTCGCGAGTCATGAGCTTCCTCGGCTCCATGTCTCCCATGCTGCAGCAAGAAAGCATGTCCATGAATGTGGGTACGGTGTCATGCGGCATGCCCATACACGATGCCCCTGCGACACACAGTGCGCGCTGGCTACTGCACTGTTGTCCACCACAGTGCGTGCTCTATGCGCGCCCGACCGACTCCAGCTCCTCCACCAGTGCCCTGCCCTGCGCGTCCGCCCACAACACGCTGCGCCGCAGAGCCCACTCCTCACCACGGCTTCCTTGCGTGTAACGCGGGCTTGTGCGCAGGGCTGGGCGAAGGACACCCCGCGGACTGGGGAAGCGCGGGGTGAGAGAGTGAGGAGCGGCGGAGCGAGGGTGGAGCGCGTGTGGAGTGGTGCTGCTCATAGCTGCGTCGCTGCCTGCTGAAGCTGCTGCTGGTCCACCGGCTGCTGCCAGTGCAGCGGCGGCACAAGGCATGGCAGGAGCAGGAGAGCTGTTGACAGCAGCCCTGGCGCCACTGTGGAGCCCACCCTCTCTGGAGCAAGCCTCCGAGAGAGACAGGCGACGCGGGCGAGTGAGGGGAGAGGAGGCGGATGAGAGAACGGGGTCAGCAGATTGTGCAGAGGAGAAACGGCTTGGCGTGGTGGGGATGGTTGCCTGCTTGAATGCGGAAAAGCGCGAGTGAGGTGGTGGGGAAGGGACGCAGAAGGAGGCAGAGGGAGAGGAGCGAGAGGAGGAGGAGCGAGAGGGGGAGGAGCGAGAGGGGGAGGAGCGAGAGGGGGAGGAGCGAGAGGAAGAAGAACGAGAGGGGGAGGAGCGAGAGGGGGAGGAGAAGGAGGAAGCGAGGGGCAGGGAGGCGCTGCGCTGAGGTGGATAGTGGAGGCGAGAGGAGGGTGTGGAGGGCGAGGAAGGCAGACAGGCGGGCGGGGAGAAAGGGGCAAGCGGCATGCGCGAGTGGCTGGTCGCGGATGGGAGGCCCTCCAAGAGGACCTTGGATTTGGAGGCTGCTTTGTGCAGCCGCTTCACCATGAGCTTGTGCCACACCGCCTCCACTCCTAACGCCTCATTAATGCCTCCCAGTCGCCCTACATCGCCCCCCACTGCCTCCCCCTCTGCTCGCCCCGCTGCCTGCTCTGGCATCTCATCATGCTCCAGCTCCTCCTCCTCCTCGCCCGTGCCGCCCCTCTCGCTGCAGGCTTCGTCCCCAAGTGCCACCACGCACCCAGGCGGGGCATCGCCATGACCCCCAACACAGGTGCTGCTTCCATTTCTTCTCTCCTCCCCCCTCTCGCACAGCAGCGCCTCCCAAAACGCAGCACTGACGCTGCGACGGCACGTGCTTACTTCCCCGCTGCACAACCCCGCGCCTTGCCCTGCGACACAGACGCGTCCACTGCCTGCCTCGATGCCCGTCCTGCGAGTGTCGCCACCGCTGCTGCGGCCCGCTGCGATGCTGCGCCCTCTACAGCCCGCTATGTTGTCCCGGAGCGCTGCTGTCGCTCCACTGCACGCCCGCTTAGAACCTTCACCTGCTATACCTCGTTCCAGCACGCAAGCAGCTGCAGCCGCGCTGCCAACAAGAGGTGCATCATGCGAGCCTGCACCCCACGGCCTTCTCCTGCCCTCCCGTGTGCCTCGCGCTCCCCTGAGGGTCTCTACCTTCTCGCTCCGCCACTCCTCCCCATCCCCATCCCCATCCCCGTCCCCATGCCCATCCCCATCCTCTTCCATGCCCTCCGCCCCTGGCTCTCCCCCACCCCCTGCCATGAGCACCAAACCCAGGAATCCTCCTGTCACCGCTGCCCCTCCACTTCCTTCCTCCCCTGCCACTCCACTGACCCCTGCCATGCTGGCAGCCCACAGGCGAGCAGCAGCAGACTGCAGCCGTGAAGACACGAGAGCAGAAGCCTCCACCTCCCCTGCATGCGCCCTTCCCTCCCCTCCTGTGCCACTGCCGCTTTTTTCACTCACACCAGCCGAACCTGACGCAGCCGAACCTGCTTCACCTGTGGCAGCATCGCCACTGCCAGCGCCTGCAGCATCAGCATCAGCCGTGGTGACCGCTGTGACAACGGCGGTCAGCTCATCCCTGCTCCAACACCCTCCCCCTCTGCCCTCCCCTCCGCCCTGCTCCCAGGGGAAGCACAGAATCACCACCTTGCACCGCTCTTCACACCCCTCGCTGTAGAACTTGCTTGAGCTCGACACTACATTGAAAATCTGCCGTAGAGTTACATCCACAGTGCGTGTACACTGCGGGCTACCACACAGCCCTGCTGCCGCCCGCTCGTTGATGACGTCACAGAGCTCCCTGCGCGTCAACAGCCGGGAAGCGGCGTCCATCTGGCGGCGCGTGATTGGCGGCGGGCCTTGCAGCAGGTGCAGCTGGACGTGGACGACGGCGAGGAGGCACGCCTGGCGAGGCAAGGGCCGGGAGCGATGAGAGGAAACGGAGGGGCAGGGAAGATGAAATCAGCCTGAAACACACTAGCTTGCATCCTGAGAACGATGAGTGGTGAGAGGAAACGGAGAGGCAGGGGGGCTGCGAGTGTTAGCCTGGAAGGGAGTTTTCAAGATAGTTGTGTCCACTCAAGCGTGGATTTTGCAGCACAGCATAAGGGCGGGCGAGCTGAAAGCGATGGGTAAAGGGCGGTTGGAATAACGCCTCAGGCACTCACCTGGCGGCTGACGTGCGCGCGATCCACGTGGCTGACCGTCTCCTCCTGCCGCTCCTCCGATCTGCCTTCTCTTGAGGAACAAGACCGTGCTGCCATGGGCTAGCTATCGCGGATTGGGCTCCCCCCAGCTGATCGGCAGAGCAAGGATTGGGAGAGAAGCGACGAGCGCACGGAGGAGAGGCAGAACACGGAAAGCGGCGGAGGAGAGGAAGCGGAGGCAGAGGAAGCGGAGGCAGAGGAAGCGGAGGCAGAGGGCGGAAAACGGTCGTGCCGTGGAGGCAAGGGATTGAGCGAGAGGTGGAACAGACGAGGTGGACGATAGAACAGGTGTGGATAGAACAAAAAGTTTTAGTCCACCTGATTTGTTCTATCCACGCTCATGTCTGGGTTTTACTGCGGAGGGCCTGCGATAGAGAGACGGATTGCGGAGGGCCTGAGATAGAAAGGCGGATTGCAGGTGGAAGAATCCGTGGGGGTATTCGCGCGACGCTTTCCGCGCTCGATAGGGTCGGATTCGCCAGCTCACGTCGACGCTTCCAATGCCTGTCCTGCCGATCGTGTGATCGCGGCGCTGGCTAACAATCTCTTCGATACGAGGGCACAGCCCGTATGCGGTTCGTGTGATCGCGAGTGAGGAATCGCGACGCTGGCTAACAGCTTTCTTGGATACGGGGGGGCACGCCCAGGGCCTTCGACGCTCGCAGGCATCCCAGCTTGCAGCACGCCGAGCAGCGCTTGAGTGCTGGATACGATTCGTGCCGTTGCAGGCTTGCCCCCGTTTCAATTCAGTGGTCTGGCACGGGGATGGAATCGAGGGAATTCAGAGGTGGTGGGAGGATACATGGTCGGCAGTGGGGAACTGAGATCCGTATTGCGCCACGCGGCCACCAGATTTGGATTCATCCTGCGAAGGAAGGGCCCAAGGGCCGCCAGCGATTGCCTTCAAGTCGAGCGCAAAAGCAGACAGACAGGCCGAGCTGCCCCTTGCGATTGCCCCCGATGGTACCGTCGGCGACGCAGGAACCAGCCTGGCATCACGTGGGGCCAAATCCTCATCCCAGCGGCGCGCCCCCGGGTCTCGACGCTCATTTCGATTGTGCATCCATTCAGCGGCCAGCATGTCGACTGGAGTCGGTCCCATGGCGCGCTTGCGTAAAATCGTAGCCATCCAGGGAGCAAGGGCTTGAATCGAGACTTCTGCCCGACATGCCTTGTGAGTCGACTCAAAAGTCAGCATGAGGTGCCGTGCCGTGTAAGAATGGCCCTTGCCATATTTTGACGAAATCAAACTAGGTGCATGGTGCGGTGCAGTGTGGTGCGCATCCTGCCTGGTGATGGTGGTACGGCTTGAATCTCGCACTTCCATTCCATTCCAACAAAACGCTCCAATCCAAGAGCCCAACCGACAGAACAAGTAGTCTTATCAAATCAAACCATCGCACTGCAATACATGCTGCCCGTCTACCTTCATTCATAGCCAAGGGGGAGATGGATGGGAATCATGGGGTATGGTGGGCTTGAGGCCCTCCACATGTGGCGGAGTCACGACTCACGGCACGGCAGGAGGGGGCAGGGGTGCTGCCGGTATGGTCGGGCCACTGGCAGCAGCAGCAGCAGCAGCGGCTCCCATGGCTGGTTGCTGCAGCACGGGCGGCAGGACTGCTTTGTCCCGATTGCTGATGGCTGGAGAAGTGGAAAGGGAAGAGAGGCGTGGATTGAGAGAGTGGAGAAGTCCTTCTCGACTCTCATAGAGCAAAAGAGTTGATAGTTGACAAATACTGGCGCAGAAGCATCACAACGCACAATAGGGGGGAGAGATGGAGGTTGAGGCTGACAGGGGTGGGAGAGGAAGGAGGCAGCACGACGGTGAGGTAGAGAGGGGATGGGGTGGGGGATAGAGAGGGAGGGGGGGGGGGGAAATGGGGGGAGAAGGGCTCATTGTGGGCCAAGGGGGTTGAAAAAAGTGAACGGAGGGACGGAAGGCAGGTCTGTGAAAAAAAGCACGTGCTGAGGCACATGTGCGTGGCATTGCTGACGGCGGTGCTGAGTGCAGTGTGAGTGAGCAGGGGTAGTAGCAGCAGAGCAAGAGACGAGTGCACTGTGCAGAGCCACCCACGTGTGATCTTGGGCAGGGGCGCGTGCACCGTGATGGGCATGGACCACTCGCCCCGCTCCGTCTCCGCCCCCATGGCCAGCGGGTGCGGCCGCTCATGCATCTGCTGCTGCTGCTGCTGCTGCCGGGCCTTGCCCGCACCACCTGCTGCGCTGCCTGCTGCTGGCAGGGGTCGTCTGGTGGATGCACAGAACTCAAAGCGCAGGATCCACTGGGGAGGGGGGGAGGGGGAGAGGGGGGGAGGGAAAGGGGGAATAGAAAACGCAAGGGGAATGGATGCTGCATCTGCTGCAGTGCTGCTGCCTCGCATTGCCCGCACTTGTTTGTGTGCTTACTGTGGGTAATGGCCGTCTGGTGAAGGCGCAAAACTGAGCCACAAAGAAAAGGAAAGTGGAACTCAACAGGGCAACGAAACAGAACCAGACGGAGCAAAGGAAATAAGAACGGTACCTGCAGCGAGATGATGGTACCTGCATTGAGATGATGGTGCCTGCAGCGAGATGATGGTACCTGCAGGGAGATGATGGTACCTGCAGCGAGATGATGGTACCTGCAGGGAGATGATGGTACCTGCAGCGAGATGATGGTGCCTGCAGCGAGATGATGGTACCTGCAGCGAGATGATGGGTGTGGCGAAGGAGGCGGCGGCGTCGGAGGGGATGGTGAAGATGAAGTGCGTGTGGAGCAGATCCACCGTCACTTCGTGGTGCTCCATCTGCAGCACTGGCAGGTGCAGCGGGGTCTGGGGAGACGCATGCAGGAGAGGTATGGGGAACGAAGGGGAAGGGGAAGGGGATGGGGATGGGGGTGGGGATGCGGGTGGGGATGGTGCAGCAGATGCACCATCACCATCTACAGCACCGGGGGGTCTGGAGAGAAGAGAGGATAGAGGGGGGGGGGGGGAGAGGGAAGCAGGCAGGGAAAGGGCAGCGAGAGGAGGGGAGAAAGGGGCGAGGGAGCGGGGCAGGAGGGGTTGATACGAGAGGAAAAACTGCTGAGTGTGAAAACAAGGTCTCGAAAACCACTCACGGTGGTGGCAAACCACTCGAAAACCACTCATGGTGGTGGCAAACGATTGGAAAACCACTTATGGTGGTGGCAAACCACAGGTTTACCGCTCATAGTGGTGGCAAACCACTAGAAAACCACTCATGGTGGCAAACCACTCGAAAACCACTCATGGTGGCAAACCACTCGAAAACCACTCATGGTGGCAAACCACTCGAAAACCACTCATGGTGGCAAACCACTCGAAAACCACTCATGGTGGCAAACCACTCGAAAACCACTCATGGTGGCAAACCACTCGAAAACCACTCATGGTGGCAAACCACTCGAAAACCACTCATGGTGGCAAACCACTCGAAAACCACTCATGGTGGCAAACCACTCGAAAACCACTCATGGTGGCAAACCACTGGAAATTCACTGATCGTGGCGGGTGGCACATGACTCACTTTGACTTTTGAGTCGACTCAAAATTCACTGATCTTGGTGGCACATGACTCACTTTGGCTGCGGAGGCGGCAGCTGCTACTCTCCTGGATGTGTGGAGGGCACGGGGGTTGATGACCTCGTGCATCTCCAGCAGCACCGACACCTGGCGGGCAGATGAATTGTGAACAGAGCACGAGAGAGAAGCGGGTTGATGATCTCATGCATCTCCAGCAGCACTGATGCCCGGGCCGGGACGGTGATTGATGGGAAAGCACGAGGGCCACGCACCAACACAGCGGTGGGGACAAGGTGGGCGGCGTACAGGACAAGAATGAACGCACTGAAACAAAAATCATCCATATACACATACACATACATGCACGCACCCCCACCCCACACATCCACACCCAGACACACATGCACCCATGCACGCATGCACGCACCCACACACGAGCACACGCACAGAAACATATCGGAAGACGCTGGAGCAGACAGAAAGTATCTAGTGTGTGTGCGACGCACCTCGAGGCATCTTCTAGGGCCGTCCTCGATCGGGAAGGAGAGAGTGCCGGACACCTGATGCGCGTGAGGGGTGTGGAGAGAGAGGGCGAGGGACGGAAGGGGGGGGAGAGGGAGAGGAGGGAAGGAGAGGGGGGAGGGAAGTAGAGGGTGGGGGGAGGGAGAGGAGAGGGGGAGGAGGGAAGGAGAGGGGGGGACGGAGAGGGGGAGATGGAGGAGAGGGGAGAGGGAGGGAGTGAGGGGGAATAAAAATGGGGGAAGGAAAGTGTGATGAGAAACAGAGTGGTAGTAAATGGAGGAAACGAGAGGAGGAGGAAGAATGAGAGGTGAGAAGTCAGCCTGGAAAAACGTTGGTATGATGGCATGTGATGTGAGGGCATGGTTTGATGATAGCAGATGATTACGGATGGTTAAATGTGAATGCCCATGTCCGCATGATTGCACAGGTGCATGGGTTCCGCCGCACAAGACAACACGTTTCACAGTCACACACACCATCCAGCATGTGGCACATAGTAAGAGAGCCACAGTTGCTACTCCACTCACCGCGCCCCCCAGATAGTATACCGGCTGAGGGGTCCTGGAAATGCATGGAACAAGCATGAGACACACACTCTACTCGTTGCATCGGACATTCCCGCTCACTCCCCCCCACCACAACACACAGAACCACTCACAGCACCACTCACAGCACCACTCACAGCACCACTCACAGCACCACTCACAGCACCACTCACAGCACCCACTCACAGCACCCACTCACAGCACCACTCACAGCACCCACTCACAGCACCGCTCACAGCACCACTCACAGCACCACTCACAGCACCCACTCACAGCACCACTCACAGCACCCACTCACCACGTCTCCCAGGTAGTAAACGGGCTGAGGGTTCCTGGGGGTGAATCTGACGAGCACTTGGTCGTCTATTCGGATGTTGTACGTGCGGCCGCGCACTCCTGGCCCTACCATGGGGTTGAAAGTCCAAGGAAGGGGGACTATGAGTAAGTGGTTCGAAAACCTGGGTGAATCTAACCACTTGATTGCCTGCCTATGCGGATGCAGTGGATACGCGCCCCCTTCTGCTGCCCTGTGGTGGGAGGGGGAGGGAAGAAATGAGCGCTGTGGATTGGAATGGAAGGGGCAGCAGACAGAATCAGAAGTGGCCTGGCGGAATCAGAGTGGCGCTCACTGGCGTGAGAACCAGAGGTGACACACGCACAACCCACTATGATTCCACACGCACAACCCACTATGTTTCCACACGCACAACCCACTATGATTCCACACGCACAACCCACTATGATTCCACACGCACGGTGACATGGTCAAGTGGTGACACACGCCCAACCCACACGGAGAGGGCGGGGGAGGGGTGAAGGGAGGGGTGTGGTGTGGAGGCAGAAGTTGGGAGGAGGTAGCACATGTGGCGAGCGAGCGACGAGCAACGCCCCTCATCATGGTGTTGTGGGTTCAGCCGCAGCAAAGAAGGGGGGGGGAAGAGAGGGAAGCTGCAGGTGAAGTGAAGCGGGGCAGCAGGAGGCTCACCAGGCGAGCGCGGGATGAAGGGCCCGTCATCCTCGTCCTGCCGGTTCAGCATCGACAGCGCCCCGCCCCTGCCCCCCTCCCCGCCCCCCCTCTCCCCCTCGTACCCGTTCCCCGCACCCCCATACGCGCCGAACAGCAGCCCGCCGCCCGCCTGCCCGCCCAGCTCCGACAGCGTGGGGCTGTCCGGCTCCAGGTCCAGCAGAGAGGACGACCGCGCCCACGCCCCGCCCCCTGCCCCTGCTGCTGCTCCTCCACCTGCCCCTGCCGCCCGACCATCAGCCGCAGCAGCAGCAGCAGAGGAAGAGTAGGAGAGGGAGTCGGAGCTGCCCGCGCCGTTCTCTGCGAACTGCTTGCCGGCCGTCATGGACTTGGACCGCCCGATCTCGCCTATCTGCTGCCCGCTGGGGTTGACTTCATCGATGGGTAGAGGCGCTGACCACAGACGGGTCAAGTGCGGGCTCTCCATGCCGCCAGACCCCACAGCCGCAGCCGCAGCCGCAGTCGCAGCCGCAGCCGCAGTGGCGTCGTTAGGCCCTGCCCCTGCTGGTACCCCGCCCGCTCGGACAGATCCACCTGCCCCAGATGCCATCTCCCCCTCGCCAACCTCTGTGACTGTAGCCGTGGCCGCCACAGGGCTGGAGGTGTGCCTCCCTGCCGCCCCGCCCACTGCTCCGGTGCCTTCAGCACTGGCAGCAGCAGTGGCTGCTGCTGCTTGTGCGTCCTCCTCCTCCTCCTCTGCTGCTGGTGGCTCTGGGGGTGGCGGGGGTGCCTGATGGGGTAGATGAGATGAGAGGGGAGAAGGGGAGGAATAAAAAAAAGAGAGACGGCAGAGGGAGGGAGAGAAATGAATAAAAGAAGAGAGTTCGAACTTACCCATACGAGAGGCGATTGCCTCACTCAATCACCTCACGTTAAAGAGGTTTTGAAAAGCTCACCTACTAACCTGAAATACACAATATGGTTTGCGCAATCATCTACTAACCTGCTTTGCATGGCACCCAGCCTACCATGAGTGCCGTCCAGCAAAGTTGGAAAATACGCGCATCGAGTATTGTACTCCAGCGTTTTAACGCTAGGGTACATACACTGTACGCTCCGTCAAGGGGGTGGTTGTACGCTCAAATACGTTGGGCCGGCCAGGGTGAAAATGTTTCGGGCAGGGGGCCAAAAAATGTACTAAGTGTTGGCTGGGGAAGCTGACGTAGACATAGCTGCTGGCAAACGGCGGTGGAAAGGAAAGAGCTCTTAGAGTCAGACATGAGAATGATTCTCAAACAGAATGGCGAGGGACGATATACCACTCACCTTTGGCACAGATGAGTCTGTCATGCAAACAGGATGGGTTGGGGCTAAGAGGTGTAGTGATGTTGAGTACGGTTGGGCGGCAAAAAGTGGTTGGGGGTGAGTTTGAATTTCGAAGGGGCCGCTCGCGAATCTGAGCGAGACTGTAACGCCTCGCCAATACACGTGATTTCGCAAAACATTTTCGGTTTTTTCTTCCCCGGGCTGTCCGGGCGTTTTTTCGCGAATCCCAACCCAATGCGCAGAGTATCGTATTTTGTAGAGTATAAACGCTGTACGCAACCCTACGCCTAGCATTTTTCTAACTTAGCCGCCCAGCCTACCATGAGTGCCGCCCGGGACTTCCTCTCTCTCCACTGAATGTCCACCTCCACTGGCGCTGTGGGCACTATGCCTGCGAGGGGGTGAGAGGGGGGGGGGACAGGGGATTCCGGGGTGGAGAGACGGATGGGCGTGAAACTTACTCTCCCTCCACCGGACATTTACCTCCACTGATCCCAACACTTACGATATCGTGCATGCAGTCATACGACAATGTGCATGCAGTCATACGACAATGTGCATGCAGTCATACGACAATGTGCATGCAGTCATACGACAATGTGCATGCAGTCATACGACAATGTGCATGCGCTCACATGATGCATGCGCACAGGCACACCCCCCACACCTTACCGCCCATCCTCACCCCCCCCTCCCTAGCAGCCATCCAGCTCTCACCCCCCACGCCATACCGCCCATCCTCACCCCCCACGCCATACCGCCCATCCTCACCCCCCACGCCGTAGTGGTCGTCGGAGTCGAGCTCCTCCACCGTGAGCCCGCTCAGGCTGGGCAGCGTCCAGATGCGCAGAGGCACGCGCACCTCCTGGGGGAAGGGGCAAGAGGGGAGCAACGTGGACGATTCCATCCACTTAGTGTGCCCCTCTGAACAGCACGAACCCGCTCAGACTGGGCAGCGTCCAGATGCGCAGAGGCACGCGCACCTCCTGGGGGAAGCACGAGTCAGAAGAGGGACTCACCACAACAGAGCAAGGAGGACTTGTAATAGAGCAGCACTGCACTCACCACAACGGCTGTGGCGCCTTGACCACCCTTGCCACCCTTTCCCTTCCCTTGACCCCCTGAAAGTCCCCCTCTCCCGTCCTCCCCTCCGCCTCGCCCCTTCAAAGGAGTTGTGTTTGCGCTTCCCCCTTGCCCCTTGCTCCCCCCCTCCTTCCCCTTCCCCCCTCCCGCCTCCTCCCCCCCTAGCTGCCCCCCTGACTGGGACCTCCGGGGAACACCAGAGGAGGGGGAAGGGGAGGCGGAGGAATGGGAGGCGAGGAGGGCGGAGGAGGAGGAGGAGAGGGAGGAGGCGAGGGGAGAGGGCGAGGAGGGGGGGAGGGGGCGCCACTTGACAATGACAGTGAGCAGATAGTGGAAGCGCACTGCTGTGCCACGGTATGAGGGGGGCAGCACCCGGGGTAACTGCGCTCTTATAGCATCTGGTAGCGGGGATGGGAGGTGGGGGGGGTGCGGGGGAGGGGGAGAGGCGAGAGTGAGGGGAGGGGGTGGGAGGAAACGGGACGAAGTAGGGGGGGACACTTTGAAGGAGAAGAATGAGTGAGTGAGTATGATGAGGATGAGAGAGAACGTGAGAAGGCAGGAGTGATTGGGATGGAAGGAGGCTGTGATTGGGATGGAAGGAGGCTGTGATTGGGATGGAAGGAGGCTGTGATTGGGATGGAAGGAGGCTGTGATTGGGATGGAAGGAGGCTGTGATTGGGATGGAAGGAGGCTGTGATTGGGATGGAAGGAGGCTGTGATTGGGATGGAAGGAGCTGCGGTAAATTTGTAGGCTTAGGCGCGTGGCTGGCAGGGAATTGGGGGAGGGGGGGGGGGCGCATACATGTTTTGCTGGTGCCGGGTTGGATGGCCACGTTGGTGACGAGAGATGTGAGCTGAGACTCCAGAATCACGCGCTCGCCTGCCAGCACCATGCAGGGGGGGGGGAAGGGAGGGGGGAGGGGGAAAGGCACCACAGGGTAATGCCATGCAGTATGGCAGGAGGTGGATGGCAATGGGGGGGGTGAGGATGCTGGGGGGGATGATGTGGGCGATGAGATGCGGATGATGCGGATGGTGGGGATGACGTGGAGGATGATGGCCAATAGCGGAGCCACAGTAACCCTAATCACAGGCAACCCCTGTAGCCGCCCATGGTAACTTGCAATGAATACCCCACCTTGCCTCACCCCACCTTGCCTCACCCCACCTTGCCTCACCCCACCTTGCCTCACCCCACCTTGCCTCTCCCCAGTTCCTCGCTATCTGCCATGCCAGCCTCCCAGGCACTCCCTCCCACCAACCTCCCTGCTCCTCCCTCTTCGCTCTTCTCTCCCTTAAGGACCCCCCCCATCTCCACTCCCCCCCCATCCCCCCCGCCCCTTTGCTCCCCTTTCCCCCACCTGCACTCCTTACCCAACCCACCCTTCCCCTCGCGCCCCACCTTTGCTCTGCGCCCCGCTGCTCGATTTCGGCAGCACAATCCACGACGGGTCTAGCCGCTCCACGCCCTTCAGGTCCACCACGAGGTTCTCTATAAGCACGCCCCCTACAGTGCCAATGTCGCCGTCACTCGCCCGCCCCGCAGCTGAAGCGCCGCCGAACGACGCGTTTTTGGAAAGCGACGGCGCGGATCCCACTCGCCCGCCCATGGCGCTAATGCTGCTGCTGCTGCTGCTGCTGCTGCTCATGCCATCGCGCCTCGGCGCGCGCTGCGGGATCGCCCAGGACGGCAGCGCGACGCCGGCGGAGGCGGCAGCGGCGGAGAGCGGCGACGGCGACGGCGCGAAGTTGTCGATGTCGATTGTTGCGATGACCGTTTCGCCCGGGCGATACGCGGCCCGGGCGAATGCCACGTGCACCACTGGCGGAGGCTGCGACGGCGGCTGCTGTTGCGCCGTCATGGTGGACGGCTCTTAGGTAAGTGGTACTTATGGGAAGGATCTTTGTGGACCAGAAGCAGAGAGGTAATGAGGGATTTTCGCGGCAGTGCAACTGGGGCGGAGTTCGGTTGGAGCGTTCGAATTAGATGCCGAGTGACCCGCATGTGCTTTTAAAACCCGCGTGCCAAGTAGTTCTATGGTAGGAAGGTTGGTTGGTTGAGTTCCCTAAGGTTGGTTGTCGATTAGTCCTCTTAGGGAACTCAACCTAAGGTAGGAAGCTCGAGGCAATTTTGGGACATTTGATACGCGGGTTTTAAGAGATTTTAGGCTCGCCGTGATAATGCTAAGCGTAAATTCACTAGCAGACATGAATGGTAGGACAGATCGTCCAAAGCAAACATAAAACAAGGCTGGACAAAGCGATATACAGTGTATCGAACTGTATCCTCAGTTGTATAAAAAAACGTGGAAAATCAGCCGCTGAGAAAACCAGCTAGATTGAATCTGACGGCGCTTTGTCACATGGCTATGTTTGTTATTTTTCCAGCGCTGATGCAAATCAGGTACAGGAGCCTTGCCGAAGGCCAGTTAGCAGCTCTAAGTAGCCTTTTGAATCCGGAGAAATGATGCTGAAGGGAAGCAAAAAGCAAGGGGTTCGAGTAAAAAAGAGGAATAAAGAGATGGGTAAGAGGAGGGACAAGAATGACACACTAAGGGCGAATTCCTACAAACCAGGATCAGAATCAAGTTGGATCGACATACTGTTGTCCACTCCACACTAACCCCCACTAGCGCTCATTGGCCCACTCCACTCCACCCAGTACAATCACTCATATGCACCATCACTTGTAGTTGCACGCAATGCAGCCACCAACATGGGCACATATGCACATGACAGTCTTAATTCTTGGTGAATTACTCTAAAAAATACCCCAACCACTGCATCCACTCGCTGCACCATCCCTCACCACATGCCCGTTTGTCCTTCCCTCGCACCATTGCTTCTAACTTGTCACGGTGCCACCATCCCCATGAGCACATGGATACATGAGTGAGCACGCACACCACTCTGCTCACCCGTGTCTTATAAGGAAGTCGATAATCACGAGGTTGCAATTTGCCTTGTACTCCTTAGTGTTGGCCACGATACAAGCCACAGCGTCAATGGGCATGAGGGAGAACTCTGCAACTTCCCCATCTGTAGGTCAGGGATGATATTGCGAAGCGAATGTGAGGAATGAGACACAGAGCTGCGTGCTGCACCGAGGGAATGGGTGCATTAGGTGACTTTTGAGTCGACTCAAAAGACACAGAGCTGCGTGCTGCACCGAGGGAACGGGTGCCTTAGAGGAACAGGTATGTGGCATGGTGCAAGAGAGTGGTACACCGGCGGAAACATTCACATTCACAGTACACGGAAAAACGGATATGAAAAGAACGAATCAACGTGTGCCCAGCTGGTGTTTCTGGGGGTCAAGTCTGGCGGCAGCAGTAGGCCATAGCGCAAGAGCACCTCGCTCTTGGTGTGAGGCAGCAGACATCGTGAGGCAAGAAATGGAGTGAGACAGGCTGTGCTGCGCCTCACCTGTGTTTCTGGGGTTGAAGTCTGGCGGCAGCTGCAGGTCATAGCAGAAGAGCACATCCCTCTTGAGCGTGTTGGCCTCTGTCACAACCTCATAGCTCACTGCTCCCACTGGCACTGCCCTTCAATCCATTCCATCCAATCATTGATTTAATCATGCAACCATAACGCCAACCAACGAAATCATGAGATAGGAGCCGGGCGAATCACGGAAAGCAGCCGTCGCAATTTTGTGGTGAAGTTCCAAGAAAAACGGGGAAATGTGCGGTGGTCTGTCATTCAACACAGTGAGAACAAAGACGCGAGACAACTACGAGCAGCCCAAAACGAGAAAAAAAGGCCGAGGAAGGGTCTGGCTTGCACCATGCGACCCGCACCGCACCACACGACCACCAGCATTCCTCTGCTCCAAGAGCAGCAGTCCATTCTATCTCACACCCTTGCCAGCATTTTCCAGCACCTAAAAAAACGTTTCATGTTCCTGCACTAGGCTCACTAAGGATTGTGTTGACTGCAATTCAGCACTCAGCAGCGTCTCACATCTGCAGCAGCAGCCGTACAGCACCGCTACAAATTCTCCTTGGAACTCTCAAACCGAGCAACCGGCACCAACGGCGCCTCTGCTCACCTCTCCGCCAGGTGACTTGGAATGGCTGCCTCTTCCTCGCACTCCTTGATCATGTTGGCCCGGCAGCTGATGCCGTGCGGCTGAGGAAGAGGAAGGAGAAGGAGTCAGAGAGGGGGGGAGACGGAGCAGGATGTGGGGGAAGACAGAGAAAGCTGAGGGTCCAACGGAACGACGGCCAGGGGAGTGAACGCACCGAATGGGTGCCTCCTCCTACTCGCAATCCTTGGTCATGTTGGCCCGGCAGCTGATGCCATGTGGCTGAGGAGGAGGAAAGAGGTAAGAGGGAAGATGGAGGGAGGGCGAAAGGGGGGGGGCTGAAAGGACATGAGAATTTGGAATGAACACAGAGAAGCAGGTTGCCTTGTAATGTCTGGCGCCTCCTCACCCTCCTTCACGTTGATTTGCCTGCACCTGATGCTCTGTGGCTGTCAGGGTGCCATGGGGCTGAGCGGGTGGCATGGGGCATGGACAGACAGGGGCAAAAGTGAGGAGAGCAGGGAGAGCACACTTAGATGAGGAAGGTGTGTTGGAATGAATGCCTCCTCCTCCTCGCACTCCTCGTTCATGTTACACCTGCAGCTTATGCCTTGGGGCTGAGAAGGGGGGGGGTGGGGGTGATGGAGGGGGTTGAAAGAACCAGAATTTAGGAAGTGAACGTGGGGAGTGGGGAGTGGGGAGGTGCACTGAAGTGTCTGCCTTCCCGACACACCTTAGTCCTTTCCTCCCTGCAGTGTATTCCGTGGGGTGGAACAAGGCACAGAGACGGCATACAACGTGAACAAATAAGACAAGGACAAGAGGGAGAGAACTCTCAACAGGGCAACACTGTGTGACACAAACTCTCCGGCAAGTCATGCTGTGCGGTTGAGCTTGATGCTGTGTGGTGCAGTGTGGTTGAGCTGGAAGCTGCGTCTCGCCCAATCTCTCTCTGCTCACCTGCCCACCGGCCACAAGGTGGTCCAGCTGGTTGGGAAACGTGGGCTTGGAGGGGGACCGCCGTGCCACCCACAGGTGCAGGGAGGGGGAAGCGGGATGCTTCGAGGAAGGATCCGAAGAGGGCGGAAGCAGCACGTAGCCGTTCATGTGGACGCCGTACGCCTTGGTGCCGAAGAGCGGCGCTGCTGCCCGCTCGATGAGGAAGGCGGGTGGCGCGTGGAAGGACGAGCCCACTGGGTACAGCTGAGGGGACGAGGGCGGGAACAACGGGGGTGGTGAGGGAGCGGGCGGGACAGGAGAGAGGGAGAAGGAACAGCAGAGAGGTTATGCCTTCTCTTCCTTCTGGAGAGGGCTGGGGAATGGAGGAGGGGGTAATGCCTTCCCTCCCTTCATGAGGAGGGCTGGTCGGGATGCACCCACTGGATCTAGCTCAGGGCGGGAGGGGGGGAGGATGGGCGCAAGGAAAGGCTATGCGATGTGAGGGAAGGACTTTTGAAAGAGCACCTTCAGGAAACACAGAACCCAATCGCCACACGCCAGCAACCATACCCCCCCGCTCAGAGCAGCTCTCTCAGCCTATGCAAGCCCCCTGCCCGGCGTACGCGCAACTCGCTCACCTCGTCTCTCCACCCGGTTATGACCCCTTCCTCTCTCAATCGCTGCAGCACCCCTCCCACTGCCTCTGTCCGCTGTGCAGGCCCTGCTGCCTCCAGACCGTCAGAAAAGGTAAGCACCCGGCCACCAGCTGTGGTGTTGGTGGCAGTGATGCTTCCGCCTTGATTGTGCATTCTAAAGACGTCTCTGAATGGCTCCAGGTGCTGCCAGAAGCTGCAGGGGCGTGAGAGAGAGGCGAGAGTGAGAGAGGCGAGAGTGAGAGAGGCGAGAGTGAGAGGGCACGGAGCAGCTAGATTAGGAGGCAGATTAGTCAACTCGGTTGTCAGCATTAGGGGAAAACAAGGGGGGGATGGCGGCGCACAAAAGGCATGACCCCCAAGGCAACCCCGAGGGTACTGCCGGGGAAAACAAACACTGGACACACTGGACAAAACGGCACAGCAGAAATCAAACGAATAAGCAGAAGAGATTATAACTAACTTCAGTAAATGTAGCTTACCGTTACAGCCACTTGCGATACTGGTGATTATACATCGAGTCACCTGTGTTGAACGAACTCCATTTATAACTACTACAGTACATGAGATGGATGTACAGTACATCCATCAGTCGTCATCATTGTAGTTTCGTGGCTATTGTCACCTGGGTTATCATTCGTTACAATCACCTGTGGTGAATGTAGCCCACAGTCTCCCCGCCAACGACGAAGGGAATGAACTCTGACCGCCGCTCCTGAGAGAGGCACACAACGGGGTCAGAAAGGGGAGCCGGGTGCAGGGGGGGGGCGAGGGGGGTTGACTGTTGAGAAACGAATGGAGGGTGGACGGCCGAGGGGAACCTCTGGGAGTACTGCATAGGAGGAAGCGGTTGAGCGAGGGAGGGGTTGAGCGAGGGAGGTGCTTTCTGGTGAAGAGAATTAGAGAATCCATCACGGCACTAAGACGTCGTTACACGCAACCCAGCCACCCTCCCTCCCTCCCTTTTCCCCCCCTCCCCTCCCCCCCCTCCGCCCCCCAACCTGCCCCGCGTTGCACTCGCGAACTCGCGCCATGTATCCCGACAGATCTCCCGGCAGCTGCGCGGAAACTTCCGCCAAACTCAACTCCGCGGGAGCGGAGGAGGCGGCATTGGAAGCCGATCCGCGGGTCGATCCTCTCACGGCTGAAGGCGGTAGTCGCCGCGCAACGGGGGAGTCGGGGGGAACGGCGGAAACGGCGGAAAGAAGGGAATCGGGGGAATAGAGGGACCGGGCTTTTCTCGCGGGAAGTTGCGCGGGAGAGGCGCGAAGAGAGAGAGTGGCGGAAAGGCCGCGGAAGGTCAGCGCGCTAAGGTTGGTAAGGGGGAGAAGCAGTTGCGCGGTGAAAGGGGGTTTGACGCACGCGGGGAGCGTGCGGGCGCGCTGCGGATGGACGACTGCCGCCATTCTGAGACGGACGAGACGATACGCCATTGGACCGGAGGTTGCTGGTTCCTTATGGTGGCGGCATGAGGCAATCAAAGGAGACGCGGTATACGGTGGGCGATATACCCCAAGTGACTGAAGCCATTGCAGTGCACTACCACCCATAAGTAGTAAAAGTGAGTGACTTTGTTTACGTAAAGGGGTAACATATAAGAGAATGTGAACCTTACTATGATAGAACGTACGCTTTAAACAAAGGAGTTCAACCATTTCATGCAGATGGCACAATGAGCCCTCTGCTGCGCATGTACACCACAGACAAGATGAACGATGCAATGCACGCTACAGTGCTCCCAATCACCACATAGTAGAACACATTGTAGTTGGAGGGGTTCTCGGGGTCGAAGTAGGAGCAGTCGATGTTCATTCCGAAGACCCCCGTGACAACGATGAAAAAGGAAATGAACAGTGTTGCCGTCGTTAGAAGTACGTTCATTTGAAGCAAGCTGTTCTGCTTCTCGTCGAGCATTATGTTGATGTAGTCCTCTGTGTCCTCCACGTACTCCCGCAGCTGAAGGACAGGCAAGGCAATGCACAGCCAAGAAGGATTAAGGCATGACAGGGGAAGGGTCAGGGTCAGGGACGCCCTGGAGTGGAGTGCTTCTTGTCCAGCATCATGTTGATGTCATCCTCACCTCAGTGTCCTCCACATACTGCCTCAAGGGAGGATGGGCCACGCAGTGAAGAGGGGGCCGAGGAATAAGGATACGCGTTCAATGGTAATCCCCCCATACCCTCCACATACACAAAATCGCGTACACATTACCCCACATTCAAATACACATGAAAGCCGCAACCACATACACGTTATCCCACACTCACATACACATACCCACACTCACATACACATACCCACACTCATACACACATACTCATACTCACATACACATACCCACACTCACATACACATACCCACACTCACATACACATGCCCACACTCACATACACATACCCACACTCACATACACACACATACCCACACTCACATACACCTACCCACACTCACATACACATACCCACACTCACATACACATACCCACACTCACATACACATACCCAAACTCACATACACATACCCACACTCACATACACATACCCACACTCACAGACACATACCCATACTCACATACACATAACCACATTTACATACACATAACCACACTCACATAAACATACCCACAATTACATACATCCTCACTCACATATACATACCCACAATCATGACACCACGATCACATGCACAAGACACACCACATTCACATGCACATTCATCCGTATGTCTCTCCACGACATACCGATGACAGCTTGTTGAGGGTGCCTTCGATCTGCACAAAGTAAGCCTCCAGCAGCATCTCCAGCTCCTCCACATCCCACTTCTTGCTGCCACTGCTGCGACTGCTGCTGCTGCTGCTACTGCTGCTGCTCCCGCTCTTGCTGCTCCCGCTCTTGCCGCTGCCGCGGCTATGGCTGCGACTGTGACTGTGGCTGTGACTGCGGCTGCCTCTGCTTCCTTTACTACCACTCCCCCCTTCGGATCCGGACCCCTCCTCACCACCCCTACCCCTGGCAGCTGTGTCTGCCCCATGCTCGGCGACGCTGGGGAGGGAGTGCGCTGACAGCTCGTGGTGGCCGTGGTGGTGAGAGTGCGAGTGTGAGTGGGAGTGAGCACGGGAGTGGGAGTGGGAGTGAGAGTGGGAGCGGCCCCTGGCAGTAGAGATGGAGAGGTGGGGGAGGCGGGGGAGTGGAGGAGAGGGAGGGCGATGCAATGCTGTGCTCGCACGTGCAGGTTGACCAACAGCTAGTATCGGCACTTCCTGTCCATCTGACCCCACACGTTCCGAACCTACACCTTCTGAACCTGCATCCTCCGAACCTGCTCTTTCCGAACCTGCACCATCCGAACCTGCTCTTTCCGAACCTGCACCTTCCGAGCCTTCTCCATCAGAAGGCATCCCATCCAAATCCGGTGCAGAGAAAGCAGCATGAGCCGCCATGCCAAAACTGAACTGCTCCTCTCCCTTCCCATGCACGTGCTGCTGCTGCTGCTGCTGCTGCTGCAGGAGCAAGAGGCGCTGCCGCTCCTCCTCCTCTGCCATCTCCTCCTGCTCCTGCTGCTGCTCCATGGCGGCCTGCCTCTGCTGCAGCAGCTTGTCCGTCAGGTACATCTCGTCCATGTCCTCGTCGTCGTCCAGCAGCTGCTCTAGCTCGTCTCGTACCTGCCAATAGAGTGGACACCACAGTAAGATGGGGGGGCGGAAGGAGTTGGCTGGACTTAATTCACGTCCTCGTCATCATCCAAGAGCTGCTTGAGATGGTCTCGAACCTGCCAATAACGCGGACAAAGTCAGCAGATGCAGGGAGAGGAGAGAGCGTGGCTGCCTGCCCGCCTGCCTCCACAGCGAGCTGTGTGTGGCAATCAGCCCATTGGTGGACTGGCGTTATCGCTTCAAACAGCCGGGCAGAACTTATGCATTCACCTTGCAGTCAGCCGGGCCCTGTATACGCCCAACCACATTCCAAAGTCCAACCTTCTGCACGTGAGATGACCACTGGGCGGCTCCTCATCTGGCGCACCCTCTCCTCTCCACTGGAGGCTGAGAGTAAGAGAACGCACCCTGAACACACTGTCATACAAGCAACCAGCAACACACCTTCAGGCATCCGAGTCCCACCTTCTGCACACGGCCGGAGATGACGACGAGGCGGCTCTTGATCTGGCGCACCCTCTCCAGGTTGAGCGTGGAGACGGACGCTGTGAGCTCGTCCAGCGCTGGGTACGCCTCCTGCTCAACTCGGGTGGTCTGCGGGGGAGGGGGAGGAGAGAGGGGAGAGAGGGAAGAGAGGAGGAGAGGGAAGGACAGGGGAATGAAGGGAGGAGGGCTGTGAGCTCGTCCAGCGCTGGGTGCGCCTCCTGCTCCGATCGGGTGGTCTGCCTGGCTTCTCCAGACATGCTTCAACGGCCCTCAAGTCACACGGCAGCGCATTGGCCCCCTTTACACCCCAGCCACAGGGGCGCTCACTTTTCCTGCCCTTGTCCCACTCCCACATGCCCCTTCCTTCTCACCTCAGCGTCTACAGTCCCGCAAGCGGCCTCTAGACACACTTCCAGCACTCGACTCTACCCTCTCACTATACACATTCCCCTGCCCCATTTGCTCACCTCAGCATCCAAGGTACCGCATGCTGCCTCCAGGCACACTTCCAGCGCGCGGAACTCAAACGGCAGCGCGTTGGGCCCCCGCCATGCCATGGCCGACGCTTCCAGCAGCGGCGCTCCCTCCACGCCCTCTGCTCCTGCTATTGCTGCCGCTGCTGCCGGAGGTGCTGGTGGTGGTGCTGTGGGTGGTGCTGTGGGTGGTGGTGTGAGTGTAGGTGCGCCTGGTGCTGTAGCAGCAGCAAGATTGGCAACGATGGCAGCAGAGGAAGGTGGAGGGGGAGGAAAGGGGAGGAGAGGGACGGTTGTTGCAGGGGCAAAGGGTGGTGATGTGGCAGCTGCTGAGGTGACAGCTGATGAGGTGGCAGCTGATGAGGTGACAGCTGCTGATGTGGCAGCAGCGGCAGTGGGTGCAGGAGCGGGAGCGGTGGGGGCAGGAGGCGAGAGAGTGAGGGCAGGAATGAGGTGGGAGGGGGAGAGGCCGCTGCCCTCATGGCCTAGCACCTGATAGTCACGGAGGGCAGTGGGGTGGGGGGGAGAGAGGGGGGGGAGGGTAGGGATGCATGGCAGATGACAAGAGGGTACGCGGATGAGGGAGAAGGGAACGGGAAGTCCGCCAGAGTGAGGAAACAAATTGCCAAGGAAGAAACACATGAGTGCGAGGCGAACTTATCAAAGTCACGTGAACTGCTAAGGGCAAAGCATGTACCTGCTGGCCTGCCGCGTTGAGGTGAGCTGGCAGGCGGGCTTTGAGCTCCTCCACCACCTTGGCCACCTGGAAGTTGCGCCAGTTGAGCAGCAGCACCTCCTCCGCCATTATGATGCACTGGAGAGGGCGGGCGGGGGAGAATAACACAGCATACAAACGGGAGGTGGTGCGGCTTGAAGCTCCTCCACCACTTTGGCCACCCCTTGATGTGCTCGAGATTGACCACAATGGCCCGCTCTCGCCCCAGCAGCGAGGACGGGTACGAGAGCAGCGGATGCAGAATGCACTGCACGGGTTTTGAGGCGCCTCAAAAATAGAACTCTCGCCCCAGCAGCAAGGACGGGTACGAGAGCAGCGGATGCGGAATGCACTGCACGGGTCACGCCTGAAGCCACGGCCAACGGATTCCTACCTTGATGTGCTCCAGCCAGATTAACCACGACGGCCCTCTCTCGCCCCAACAGCGCGGAGGGGCATGCCAGCAGCAGGTCGAGAATGCGCAGGTCACGGCTTTTATAATCGTCACGATTATCGTTACCTTGATATGTTGTAGGTTATAATAGTCACGATTATCCTTACCTTGATATGCTCCAGATTTACAACGATGGCTCGTTCTCGCCCCAGCAGCGTGGAGGGGTACGACAGCAGCGGGTCGAGAATGCGCAGGTCGCGCGCTGGGATGGAGCAGCGCCGCATGATGGCGTACTTGTCGGCCTCGATCACCTGGGGGGTTTGGGGAAGGGGGGAGGGGGAGAGGGGAGAGGGGGGGGGGATATGGGATACGGGCATGCAGGGATGGCGTGGAGCGGCGGCCCATGGAGGCGGCCTGGATCACATGCAGGCTGGAATCAGCCGCTCGGGAATTGATGGTGTGTGGGAAACACTAGGAGGGTGGCGAGGGCACGCCAAGGCGTGGAGCAGCGGCGCGTGTGTGACGTGGCCGTCCCCACGGAGGCTGGGTGGGGGCGAGGGAGGCGTGGGAGATGGGAGCCAAGGTGCGGCGGGCCGCTGAGCACGTGATGGCGTGCTTGTCGGCCTCGACCACCTGGGGATGGAGGATGGGGGAGGGGGGAGGGGGAAGGGGGGATGGGGGATGGGGGATGCGGGATGCGGGATGGGGGATGGGGGACATGGCGCGGGGGACAGTTGAGCCGCCTCCAGAGCAGCGGCGCGTGATGGGGCTCGAGGTGTCAGTCCGGATCAGGCGTGAGCCGTCCAAAGACGAACCGACAGTCCAAGTCAGCATCCTCGGCGCGTGATAGGCACGGTTCTCAACGCATGGCACAAAACGCAGGTCCAAACGGGCAGAGGGAAGAAGAAACAGGCAAGAAGAAGCACCCGCCCCAGTCTCGACCTCGTGCCGGCACCCACTTGATGCGATCACCCACCTGCGTCTGCCCTGATTGGTCGATCCGCAGCCACGACCGCGCGCCAGCGCCCTTGTTCCGCCGCACGCCCAGCAGCCCGCGGTCGCGCTCCCGCTCGCGCCCCTCCTCCCGCTCCGCCTCCTTCCCCCTCTCCTCCGCCTTCCCCGCGTCCCCCGCGCCATCCGCCGCGGCCGTCGGCGGCGGCACGACGAGCCGCTTCTTGCTGCCGCTGCGACCGAGGAGCCTCGCCTTCGCCTTCATTCTAAGCTCTTAGTCGACAATCGCCTCCGGCACCAAGGCTTTGACGCACGCTTTCAACAATCGGCTGCTGACACGCGGCTCAAAGCGCTACGAACCAGAAGCCCCGCCTTCGTCATTCCAGGCGAACGCCCATTCGACACGTGTTCAACAGATGTTTGACGATTTCGACACGTGGATTTTCATCCCTGGGTTCAACCTGGCACGGGTGGTTCCTCAGCATTCGACTTCATTCCCTTCCCATGCCTCGAAGGCTGGGCGTGCTCAGAGGTGGTCAAGTGCGACGGTGTGTCGACGCTGCGGTGTTAGGGCGTGTCCGCGTTCGTTTTTTGTCAAAACCATACCCAATCGTTTTAGACTTGTTATCGATCCTTCTGATCCGTGAGGCACCTCACCCAACCGCAATCAGACGTACGCGCTAGACACGCCCTTATCCAGCTCACGGTTTTGGGGGTCAATGCAGAATGTCGATCATCAACCGCACTAAACCACGACATAACTTTCTACAGAAATTACCAAATCTCCTTGAAATCCGTAAAAAATGCGAACCCGAGGAATTATGACCCCGACCCTTGGTCAATTGTACAAAACGTACAAGTGACACACAAAGTCCGCAGCCTACTTGATACACGCCCCCTCGAGCCCCTCCGCTAACCGCGGGTGCGAAGTAATTCGCCAGCGCTTGGGCAGCGTAGTGTGAAGCAGCTCCCTTACCCTAGAAGTACGCATCGCAAGTTATTAGGCGCTTACCTGTTCGCCTGTCAGGTTGTTCGATTTGCATTTCCACTATTTGAAGCACCCGTTACTAGGAAACTTCTATTTGCTGCATTCGGTAACACAGTGGTAACCCTATCTGTTCCTCTTCGCCGAGCCCAGTTCGCGACGATGAAACGCAGAGGGGAGGCGAGGAGGGGGAGGCAAGAGGCGACGGTGGAGGGGAGGATGGGCAGGGGGAAGCAGAACCAGCAGGTGTGGGAGCAGCAGCAGCAGCAGTAGCACCACGAGCAGTTGACTGTAGAAACGAAGGAAGGAGGGAATACGTAGACATCAGAACAGCAGCAGCAGCAGCGCGTGCAGATCTGATGGCAGCATGCAGGGACCTCTTCACTCTCATGCAGGGACCTCTTCACTCTCATGCAGGGACCTCTTCACTCTCATGCAGGGACCTCTTCACTCTCATGCAGGGACCTCTTCACTCTCATGCAGGGACCTCTTCACTCTGCTTTTGAGTCGACTCAAAAGCATGAAAGAGGCCACCGAGTTCATCAAAAGCGCACCTGCCGCCGCCCACTGGGCTCGCATGGCGCAGGGCGCATACGCCCTAACCGAGATCAATTCAGCTGTCACTAAAATCAGGTCCTCCACCTGTCGCTCGGCGCGTGTGGCGGTTTCCGAGCAAGATGCAGCCACAGAGAGGGAGGATGCGGTGATTGAGGCGTTTGCTGCCATGGCTGCGGGGACGTTTGTGAGCCGGGCTGGTGGGGAAGGAGAGGGCGAAGGGGGGATGGTTTGGCTGGAAGGCTTTGATGGCTTGCTGCCTGCTGATGACTTGGGTGCTGCAGATGGGAGTGAGGGCGAGGGCGAGGGTGAGAGGGAGAGTGAGAGGGCTGCGGTGATTGACCCTCGGGCGCGGGCGCTAGGAGTGATGGAGTCGCTGATTGCAGAGCTGGCGGTGCAGAGGGGCGCCATGCTGGAGGGCTTCAGAACCATGCGCATGCCTCGCACTGCTGATGCCGGCGCAGCAGAGGGTGCAGCCGCCGCTGCAGATGGAGCAGCAGCTGCTGCAGATGGGACAGCAGCCGCTGCAGATGGGGCAGCAGATGTTGCTGCCCCTGCTGCTGGTCCTGCTGGTGCTGCTCCTGCTGCTGGTGCTGCTGGGGCTACCCCTGCTGTCGGTGGTGGCGCTCCTGCTGCTGCTGCTGCTGCTGTTGCTGCAGATACAGGGGATGCTGATGGGACCCCTCCTGCTGTTACACGTGCTGCCACTGCTACAGGTGGTGCTGCTGCTACAGGTGGTGCCACTGCTACAGGTGGTGCTGCTGCTACAGGTGGTGCTGCTGCTACACGAGGTGCCACTGCTACAGGTGGTGGAGCAGCAGTGCAGCAAGGGGGAGAAACAATGGCAGTAGCATCTCATCATGTGGAAAGGCCACAAGGGGCACCAGGGGCACCAGGAGCACCGGGGGGCACCAGGAGCACCGGGGGGCACCAGGAGCACCGGGGGGCACCAGGAGCACCGGGGGGCACCAGGAGCACCGGGGGGCACCAGGAGCACCGGGGGGCACCAGGAGCACCGGGGGGCACCAGGAGCACCGGGGGCAGGAGAAGGAGGGGAGAAAGTGTCAGGGGATGGAGAAGCTTCGGCCGCACGAAACTCTGCAAGCCAGAGAAGGTCAAAGGGCGGCAGAAACTCAGCAGCAACCAAGAGGGGCATTTCTGGGGTTCCTGTGGACGTGACCTGCGCTCCCCTCAAGGCCCTGACCCTCCAGAGCGTCCACTTCACCACCACCACCCCCGTGCCCACCTGGCTGCCCCCATCCTTTCCCTCGGCATCCCCTCTCATGCGCCTTGCTTCCCCTGCTGTAGCCCTTCTCCTCGTCCCTCTGCTTCTCCCTCCTTGTCCCGCTCCTCGTCCCGCCTCTCTCCTGCTGCCATCCCAAGCCCCCCCACTCAGCCGCAATCCTTTGAGTCCATTACCCTGGCTGCCGCTTTTACACAGCTGAAGCGGCTCGCCCTGGTGTCGTGCTACGGGCTCAAGGAGGAGCAGCTGCTGCTGCTGCGGGCTTGCCCCGTGCTGGCAGCATTAACAGTGGAGCACATTGATGACTTTTCGGACCGGGTGGTGGTAGGAAGCAGGCTGGATCTGCTCACGCAGTTGACTCTGGTTGACTGCGATGCAATCACTGCACCCGGCATTGGGGGGCTGCTGGGAGCTTCCCTAGGTTGCGGCTTTTGAAGGTGGAAGTGAGCAAGGTTGCTGAGAGGGCTCGCAGGGAGTTGCTCCGAGCTGGCGTTCTGAGTGGATGTTGACAGTGCCGCTGAGAAAACCAACCAAGGTGCAGCTCGCGCCACACGTGCTCCTTTTTCTCCATCCTGTTCAGCATCTTGAAGGTGGGATCACGGGAGCGTACAAGGTTCTAAACAGTCAGAGGTTCGTTCCATTCCAAAACGTACACCTGTGAGTGCTGCAAGCACTTAGTGTGCCACTATTGGCTTCCTCACTGCTCCTTCCATCCTGGCCCCCAAGCATGCTCTCTCTTCACTCCCACATCCAAGTCTGCAGTCTACGCTCTCATGCAAAGGCGCTTCCAACTTGTTGCCGCATCTGCAACTTCGTTCATCAATCCACTAGTTGCTCTTGTCTCAAACCTTACACCTACTTTCAGAAGAAATAGTGAAAACCATTAGGGTGACTGATTATTAGAAAATCAGAGTGATTGAATGTGATAGAACAAGCCCTGTTTCATAGGCGCAACTCCAAATCCAGCGCCTGTGAGTGCTGCAAGCAGCTCGTGTGCCACTATCGGCTTTCTCACTGCTCCATCCATCCCCGCCTCCAGGCACGCCTTCTTCACTCCCACATCCAAGTCTGCAGTCAACGCTATGATGCAAAGGCCCTTCCGCCTCGCTCCTACCTCCGTGCCTTGGTTCTCCAGCCCAGCAGCTGCTGTTGGCTCTACCGTGTTCGGCACCTGCTGTGTTCTCTCCATGCCACGAATTCGACGAGCCGTTTCGAATCTGTCATGGGTAGTGAAGTTAGTAATCATCGGAAAAAAATGCATGGAACAATGGCAGGAGGGATGATAAGATCAAACGATGAGCGCAGAGTTCACAGCATGGCAACATGCCATACAGTTGCAGCATCAAAGAGAGGGGAGCGCAGAATGCAGCAGTCATCCATAGGAGCAGCGCGGCACTCACCCATCGATGCCGGGCGGCATGTGGAGGTCCAGCAGCAGCAGGTGGAGGGGCGGGGAGGGAGCACGGGTGGAGAGCGCGTGGAGGGCGTCCTCCCCTGACTGTAGCAGCAGCACGTGTGCCCCGTAGCCCTGCAGCGTTCTGCGCGCCACCATGCGGTTCACCGCGTTGTCATCCACCACCGCCACCCACAGCCCCGCCATCACACCCCGCACCGCCGCCTCCGCGCTCTCCGCGGCCCCGGTGCCACTCCTCTCGCAGCCACCCACGCTGCCCCCCCGTAGGAAGAGAGACTGCTCCGGTGTTACGTGTTGCTGCAGAGCTGCTGGCTCCACCGCAGCAGCGGCATGACAAGGCGTGCATCCGCCAAGGCCACTAGACCCCGCCACCTGCTGCCCTGCCTGCACCGCTGCCACCACCCCCTCCCCACCCTTATCCCCCTCCCCATCCCACCTGCTGGCAGCGCCCTCACCGCCCCCCATGGGCAGTGCGAGCAGAATGGTGGTGCCCGTGGCGGCATGTGAGAGAGCTGCCATGGCCCCCCGCATCTCAGCCACCTGCCATGGGGAGAGGGGGGAGGGGGAGGGGGGGGAGGGGAGAGGAGAGGATGGAGAAATGAAGGAGTGGTACACACAGAGACAACCCAACCACATTGTGGAGGAGCTGAGAGGAGGCCAGGCGAGGGGCAGGGAGGAGGGGAGCGGGACAGGGAGGATGAAAGTGCAGAAGACTAGAGGGTGAGAGAGAAGAAGAGGGGGAGTGAGGGAAGAAGACTAGAGGATGTGTCGTGTTGAAGAGAAGCCATGAGCAGCTTACAAACAGACGAATCAACGGAGCACAGTACCACAAATGGAGGCTGAGGAGTGGAAAACCCAAACAAACTTGCAGTCAAGAAAGATGTGTCATGTTTATAGTTTTGTTGATGAGATGAACAGAGATTGATGCAAAACGTTTATGTCTTCTCCCCAATTTGAAGCTTAGATGTGGATGCGGTTGCAGCACTCACAAGGGAGGTGGAGAGGAGGAAGCGGAGCGGGTAGGGCGTCCATGCAGGGCGGGCAGCTGCCCTCTGATCGTGAGTCAGCGGGGCCGCTGGGTGTGGCTGCTGCGCAAGAAGCAAGAAGCAAGGCCAGCGACGGGCGAGAGGGAAAGAAGGGCAAAACGGGTGCGGGAAAAGGGAAAAGGGATAGGTGGTGGGAAACGAATAGCAGGGAATGACAGTCACCTGAAGAGGAGAGGAAAGATGAATACAAACATAGAAACATAGAAATGTAATCTTGCAGCGCCACACACTGTATGCAGCACCACACACTGTATGCAGCGCCACACACTGTATGCAGCACCACACACTGTATGCAGCACCACACACTGTATGCAGCACCACACACTGTATGCAGCACCACACACTGTATGCAGCACCACACACTGTATGCAGCACCACACACTGTATGCAGCACCACACACTGTATGCAGCGCCACACATTGTATGCAGCACCACACACTGTATGCAGCACTACACATTGTATGCAGCACCACACACTGTATGCAGCACCACACACTGTATGCAGCCCACACACTGTATGCAGCACCACACGTTGCATGCAGCACAACACGTTGCTTGCAGCACCACACGTTGCATGCAGCACCACACGTTGCATGCAGCACAACACACTGTATGCAGCACCACACACTGTATGCAGCACCACACACTGTATGCAGCGCCACACGTTGTATGCAGCACCACACAATGTATGCAGCACTACACACTGTATGCAGCACCACACACTGTATGCAGCACCACACACTGTATGCAGCACCACACACTGTATGCAGCACCACACATTGTATGCAGCACCACACACATGCAGCACCACACATTGTATGCAGCACCACACACTGTATGCAGCACCACACACTGTATGCAGCACCACACACTGTATGCAGCGCCACACACTGTATGCAGCACCACACACTGTATGCAGCACCACACACTGCATGCAGCACCACACACTGTATGCAGAGCCACACATTGTATGCAGCACCACACACTCTATGCAGAGCCACACATTGTATGCAGCACCACACACTGTATGCAGCACCACACACTGCATGCAGCACCACACATTGTATGCAGCGCCACACATTGTATGCAGCACCACGCAATGTATGCAGCAGCACACACTGTATGCAGCACCACACACTGTACGCAGCACCACACACTGTATGCAGCACCACACACTGTATGCAGCACCACACACTGTATGCAGCGCCACACACTGTATGCAGCACCACACACTGTATGCAGCACCACACACTGTATGCAGCACCACACACTGTATGCAGCGCCACACATTATATGCAGCACCACACAATGTATGCAGCACTACACATTGTATGCAGCACCACTCACTGTATGCAGCACTACACATTGTATGCAGCACAACACATTGCGTGCAGCACAACACATTGTGTGCAGCACCACACAATGTATGCAGCACTACACATTGTATGCAGCACCACACAATGTATGCAGCACTACACGTTGTATGCAGCACCACAAAATGTATGCAGCACTACACATTGTATGCAGCACCACACGTTGCATGCAGCACCACACGTTGCTTGCAGCACCACACGTTGCATGCAGCACCACACGTTGCATGCAGCACCACACAATGTATGCAGCACTACACATTGTATGCGGCACCACACAATGTATGCAGCACTACACATTGTATGCAGCACCACACAATGTATGCAGCACTACACATTGTATGCAGCACCACACAATGTATGCAGCACTACACATTGTATGCAGCACCACACAATGTATGCAGCACTACACATTGTATGCAGCACCACACATTGCATGCAGCACAACACATTGTGTGCAGCACCACACAATGTTTGCAGCACTACACATTGTATGCAGCACCACACAATGTATGCAACACTACACGTTGTATGCAGCACCACACAATATATGCAGCACTACACATTGTATGCAGCACCACACGTTGCATGCAGCACCACACGTTGCTTGCAGCACCACACGTTGCATGCAGCACCACACGTTGCATGCAGCACCACACAATGTATGCAGCACTACACATTGTATGCGGCACCACACAATGTATGCAGCACTACACATTGTATGCAGCACCACACAATGTATGCAGCACTACACATTGTATGCAGCACCACACAATGTATGCAGCACTACACATTGTATGCAGCACCACACATTGTATGCAGCACAACACATTGCATGCAGCACAACACATTGTGTGCAGCACCACACAATGTATGCAGCACTACACATTGTATGCAGCACCACACAATGTATGCAGCACTACACGTTGTATGCAGCACCACACAATATATGCAGCACTACACATTGTATGCAGCACCACACGTTGCATGCAGCACCACACGTTGCTTGCAGCACCACACGTTGCATGCAGCACCACACGTTGCATGCAGCACCACACGTTGCATGCAGCGCCACATGTTGCATCCAGCACGACACGTTGCATCCAGCACGACACGTTGCATGCAGCGCCGCACAAAGCATGCAGCGCCACACGTTGCATGCAGCGCCACACGTTGCATGCAGCGCCACACGTTGCATGCAGCGCCACACGATGCATGCAGCGCCACACGTTGCATCCAGCGCCACACGTTGCATCCAGCGCCACACTTTGCATGCAGCGCCACACGTTGCATGCAGCGCCACATGTTGCATGCATCCCTCACCATGATGCTCCGTCGCTTCTTGCTGCTGCCTCTTTCACCCTGCCCACCACCACCACCACCACAACCACCACCACCAACTGTGTCAGCAACAGCAGCATCAGAAGAGGTGTGTTTTGGGTGGGGCGAGTGGCCGTGTGGGTCCAGCACCCACCGCATCTCGGCTGGTGGTATACCACCGCTCGTGTCCTCACATGCCATCACCACCATCCACTCGCCCTCGCCTCTCGCCCTGCACGCCCCTTCCACCCATGCCGCCACTTCCCTCTCCAACCGCCCACCGCCACCCTGCTCCTCCACTGAAGTGCCTGCACCTCTTGTGCCTGCATCTCTTGTGCCTGCATCTCTTGTGCCTGCATCTCGTGTGCCTGCATCTCTTGTGCTTGCATCTCCCGTGCTCGCATCGCCCGACCTTGCATCATGCCGCCCTTGCTGCAGGATACCTTGTTGCATCTCATCCGTCTCTGCAATCTCCACACTAGAGTTTTGTGGCTCAACCATACATGTTGCCCCCGCCCCTCTCGCCCCCACGCCTGTCGCAGCACCCCCATGGTCCACCCCCGACTTCCCACGCCTCATCACCCTCTCCCCCAAGCCGGCCCTCTCCCCCAAGCTGGCCCTCCCCCCTGAGCCGGACCTCTCCCCCTGCCGCCCTGTACCTCCACCCCACGTCCCTCCACGCGCCCCTCTGCCCCTCACATGCCCCCCTCCCCCCTCCCTCCCGCCCTCACTGTCCAATCTGCCATTGCAACCCCCCCGACTCTTTGCAAGAGGCTGAGGGCCGCATGCCAGGCGGGTGGGTGGAGGGAAGCGGCGCGCACAGGCCGCCAGCTGATGCCATGGTGATGGGGCCGGGGGGGACTGAGGGGCTGCAGATGCTTGTGATGCAGCGGAGGAATGGCAGGCAGGGGAAGGGGTGGCAACAGCCTGGTCTTGGGAAGGTGAAGTGGTGGGGGCTTGGGAATGAGGGGCGATGCACCAGAGACGGAAAGTCACATGGCCCACCGGGGTGTTGCTCACAGCGTGGGCTGCAAAGCGGGAGGGGGTTGACACACAGGGCAAGAAAGGGCGTGACAGTGGTGGCTGTGAGCGAGGCGTCAACCGGACCTCCATCAGCCATGGGCAAAGCGAACAACAGCTGCACTCGAGGGATGGAGGCATGCTGGGCACCTCACCCATGAGGCATGCTGGGCGCCTCACCCATGAGGCATGCTGGGCGCCTCACCCATGAGGCATGCTGGGCGCCTCACCCATGAGGCATGCTGGGCGCCTCACCCATGAGGCATGCTGGGCGCCTCACCCATGAGGCATGCTGGGCACCTCACCCATGAGGCATGCTGGGCGCCTCAACCATGAGGCATGCTGGGCGCCTCACCCATGAGGCATGCTGGGCGGCTCACCAGCGACCGCAACTCACCCGCCAGCTCGCCCACGACTTGCAGCAGCCGGGTTGGATCGCCTATCAGAACTGGCGGAACGCTTTGGTCCACGTGGCATGTCACTGCAGCCACAACGCAGCGAATGGGAAACAGCGGATGTCCGTCACAGAGTGTCGCAACTGGCAGCAGCGGTAAACTCACGCTTGCACCTCTGCACAACACAGCTCCTCTGCACAACACAGCTCATACCTGTAATCCCCTTTCCAAATGCATCTTGTGCCGCCAGTGCAACTGCTTCTTCAGCAATGCTGGCAAGGCAGCAAGGCAGATCCTCGAGCTGCAGGCGGCCGGCCTGCAGCTTGGCGAGGTCGAGCACGCGGTTGATGAGGTGCACCGTCTCGCCCGCACACGCACTCGCATCCCTCAGGTCCGCGCGCTGCCACTCCTCCAACGCCGACTCCAGCAGCACGTCGATCATCCCTGCCAAGCCAAGCCAATAATTGGGACAACAGCCTGAGAGCATCGTCACTGGCCACGGAGCTGTGATGGCGTGGCCACAACCACCAAACCAGCTGGGATGGCGTGGCTGCAACCACCAAACCAGCTGGGATGGCGTGGCCACAACCACCAAACCAGCTGGGATGGCGTGGCCGCAACCACCAAACCAGCTGGGATGGCGTGGCCGCAACCACCAAACCAGCTGGGATGGCGTGGCCGCAACCACCAAACCAGCTGGGATGGCGTGGCCGCAACCACCAAACCAGCTGGGATGGCGTGGCCGCAACCACCAAACCAGCTGGGATGGCGTGGCCGCAACCACCAAACCAGCTGGGATGGCGTGGCCGCAACCACCAAATCAGCTGGGATGGCGTGGCCGCAACCACCAAACCAGCTGGGATGGCGTGGCCGCAACCACCAAACCAGCTGGGATGGCGTGGCCGCAACCACCAAACCAGCTGGGATGGCGTGGCCGCAACCACCAAACCAGCTGGGATGGCGTGGCCGCAACCACCAAACCAGCTGGGATGGCGTGGCCGCAACCACCAGACCAGCTGGGATGGAGTGGCCGCAACCACCAAACCAGCTGCTTCATCGCACTCCAGAAAGCAGCAAATAAGCGTGCTGCTGGTACACCACAGACATGTGTGTGCCCTTATGCGTGCGTGCTCCCACCTATACCTTTCATGCCAGCCATCGCCGTGTGCAGCTCGTGCTTTTGAGTCGACTCAAAAGCAGTGCTCCCACCTATCATGCCAACGATGGGCGTGCGCAGCTCGTGCGAGAGGTTGGCCACCGTCTCACTCTTGTTGCGCTCAGCTCGCTCCAGCGCCGCCGTGCACAGCGCCATCTCCCGCACGCCCTCCGCCATGCGCCGCCGCTTCCACGCCAGCACCGCAATCAGAGTCGACAGCAGCAGAGCCAGCAGCAGCACCAGCAGCCCCAGCAGCATGGGCGCGTACACCAGGTCCCACCTGGGGTAGGCGCCCTGGAAGCTAAGGGCGGACGTGAAGTGAAAGGGAGACATAGAGAACGATGAGGAGGAAAGGGACGGGGACGGGAGCAACGGGAGAGTTGAGAGAGAGAGAGAGAGAGAGAGAGAGAGAGAGAGAGAGAGAGAGAGAGAGAGAGAGAGAGAGAGAGAGAGAGAGAGAGTGTGTGTGTGTGTGTGTGTGTGTGTGGAGAGGGGAAGGGCGGGGGGAGAGCTAAGATGCCCATGCTGTGTAACGTATGCTGCGTGTGCCTGTGACTGCCCAAGAGATATGCATTACGAGTTGGTTCGCACTCACGGCATGTGAAAGAGACTGAAGGTGTGATTGATTTGAAGACGGAAGGGGTTGACATAGGAGGGAGAGAATGGTCAAAGGGGTTGCACCAATAACCGAAGATAGACCCCAATATTATTGGCTGGACCAATAATGGTTGGGGTGGCCAACCGGATTGGTCTAACAACAATTGTGATAGGGTAACATCAAGAAGGTTTGGCGTTTCCCCAACCCCAAATGTACACTCAAAAAGTGGTGTACACTGAACAATCTATCGTAAGCATGCTAACCACATATATATTTCTTAACACTATCAACGAGAAGAATTGTATCTTAGAGCCCCTTTTGGCAACCCCATTCACCTCGCTAGTCCAACCTTGAACCTGCCGGGGCCCCGAATGTCACAGTGGGCGCTCTGCACCGTGCCCTCATGAAATGCCGGTGCGTGCCTTTACCCGCTCGTATCAACGCACTCACATCCAATAGCAATGTTCCCAGCAGCAACCTGCCTCAAGCTCCTAGTGACATGCAGAGTGGTGAATGGCGGTGCATGCTCGTGGTGCCAGCCAGCCACCTGCAGTGCGCGTGCACCCACCTGCAGTGCGCCTGGTAGGTGCGGCCAAAGAGCCCCTCAGGAAAGGGCTCCACGTGGTCGCTGGGCGGCACCACCGCCACCGGCAGCACGAACGGAAACACAGCCCCCCGCTCCAGGCGCGGCTGCTGCGGGCCAAAAATCTGAACGAGCTCGCCTGGCTGTGTGCTGTCGTACAACTCAAAGGAATATGCGGTGCTGCCTGCAGGGGGAGACAGGGGAGAGAAAGGGGAGAGACAGGGGGGAAAGAGGGGAGGAGTGGTGATGCCGTATCACACCCCAGTGCTAGCCCATCAGGTGTATCGGAAATCGGCAACAGTGGTGGAGCAAACGCACAAGGTGCAAAGTTGTAATGACAGGTAAGACAAAAGCGCGTGGTCTACAAAGAGAAAACAGTTTAGCGCAGAGGAGGAGGAGGAGGAGGAGGAGGAGGAGGAGGAGGAGGAGGAGGAGGAGGAGGAGGAGGAGGAGGAGGAGGAGGAGGAGGAGGAGGAGGAGGAGGAGGAGGAGGAGGAGGAGGAGGAGGAGGAGGGGGAGGAGGAGGAGGAGGGGGAGGAGGAGGGGAGGGGGGGTGTGTGGTGGGGGTGAAAGAGGGTGAGGGGGGAAGAGGGCAGAGGAGGAGAGAGACAGTCACTGAATTGCAAGATTCCTGCGACCCAGACGGCGTTCAACCTTCCTGCGACCCAGACGGCGTTCAACCTTCCTGCGACCCAGACGGCGTTCAACCTTCCTGCGACCCAGACGGCGTTGAACCTTCCTACGACCCAGACGGCGTTCAACCTTCCTGCGACCCAGACGGCGTTGAACCTTCCTACGACCCAGACGGCGTTCAACCTTCCTGCGACCCAGACGGCGTTCAACCTTCCTGCTACCCAATCGCTTTCCAACCATGTCGAGCATGTCTCAGCCCCTCCAGGACAGATTATCTTGGAGAGTCGTATGGCGAGGTTTGGCCATATGCAAGCAGGTCATGGTTTAGCAGGTTAACATTCTCAGGCAGGTTACCGTTTTCCAGCATGTTGAGTATGTCTCGGGCCCTCCACTCGAGGTGAATCACAGCCGCCCATCCCGTGCTAATGCTCTCCCTGATCTGCTCCGGGGATGCGCTGGGCGGCAGCGGGTGGCGCAAGATGGGGATGACAAACACTGCCAGCAGTGGGAGGGACAGGGACGGTCGGGCAGGAGGAAGGCATTCGTTGGGTGAGGGAAGAACATTGAGTGGTGGAGCATACTTGATAGGCGCAATCAAGAGCACCTTGAAAGTGGACATGTGGACTTACTTGGATGGACATCCTACACACCACCAATGAAAGCCAGGCTCTACAATAGGCATTGGAATTTACAAGTAGGTGACAGCAAAACCTGTGTGAAACTTTCGAAGCACTAGTGCCGGCATGAACAAGTGCGGGAGGAAGAGGTGAGCGAGAGGAAGAGGTGAGCGAGAGGAAGAGGTGAGCGAGAGGACGCACCACTTGCCACATAGCCGGGGCCGAGGGAAAGTGGGGGGCCAGCACTGGGCTTCCCAGCGAGCAGGCTTGCAAGGATGTGCGGCGGAACGAGAGGGGCGAAGTCGGTGAAGGGCGGCAGGTAGAAGCCCTGCTCCGTGCTGCCGCAGAGGTTGACGGCGTACAGCCGCTTCCTGGGCGCGGGCAGCCCCAGCACTGAGTGCACCTGGTAGCCCGTGATCGCCTCTGCTGTGGCCCTGTGCAAGGGAGCAACGTGGTGTGCGTGTGAGGGAGAGGCAGAGGGAAGTGGGAATGACGGCAGGCAGACCAACTGGTAGAGTGGGAAAGGGGGTTGAATTGTGTGCGGTGAAATGACATTCTAAACCACTGGAGCGAACAGCCTAGAGAACACAAGCGAGAGAACAAGGGCTAGAGAACACAGGCTAGAGAACACAGCCTGCAGCACACAGGCTACCACCCAGGCTAGCACACCGGCTAGCGCACGGGCTAGCGGACGGGCTAGCACACAGGCTAGCGCCCAGGCTAGCGCACGGGCTAGCACACAGGCTAGACCGCACGAGCTAGAGAGCATGAAGTGTGCAGCTGGAAGCAGATCTCCATGCGAACATCATTGAGAAAGCACCATGCGAACATCATTGAGAAAGCACCTCGCCTGTCTTGCTCTTGCCTGTCTTGCTCTCACCCGTTGCCCTCCCTCGCTGAGCACCATGCAGCCTCGCACCTGTCTTGTCCGTTGAGCACCATCACGACGGTGCTGCTGCTGTAGTTGGCGATTTGGTCCGCCCGCACTGTGTACTTCAGGAGAGTCGCGTTGTTGACGCACCCCGCCACGCCCCAGTACTGCAGGCTGCTGCTGCTGCGCGGACCGAACCTGCCAAACACCTTCATCAGCCCAGTGGACTCCTGCCAGCGACACGTGGTGCGGAATGGAAGGAGGGGCGGGTGGGGGGGGGGGAGGGGGTGGGGGGGACAAGCTCATGCGCTCATTGGCTGCAAGGACAAGCTCATGCGGTCATTGGCTGCAAGGACAAGCTCATGCGGTCATTGGCTGCAAGGACAAGCTCATGCGCTCATTGGCTGCAAGGACAAGCTCATGCGGTCATTGGCTGCAAGGACAAGCTCATGCGGTCATTGGCTGCAAGGACAAGCTCATGCGCTCATTGGCTGCAAGGACAAGCTCATGCGCTCATTGGCTGCAAGGACAAGCTCATGCGGTCATTGGCTCCAAGGACAAGCTCATGCGCTCATTGGCTGCAGGCCAATGTACAGAAAAGGAGGGGAAGCGAAAGGACCCAGGGGAAGTGCGACGGGCCCACGGGGCCGAGCAAGTGCGGAGGACTCATGACCTCGCCCCCACTGGTACGGCCCCCATCGCGGGTCACAGTGGTGCCAGTACGCTGGGGGTCGAATCGGGGATACGGGCGGGAAGTACCTAAGCGCGTATTGGGGTACGGCGGAACTACCAAAGCGCTTATGGGGGTACGGCGGAGCTACCACAGCGCGTATGGGGGTACGGCGGAAGTACCTGAGCCCGTATGGGGGTACGGCGGAACTACCAAAGCGCGTATGAGGGTACGGCGGAACTACCAAAGCGCGTATGGGGGTACGGCGGAAGTACCTGAGCGCGTATGGGGACTCATGACCTCGGACTGGTACGGCCTCCATCGCGGGAAGAATCGTGCGAGTGTGCGCCAGGCATCACGGCGGAAGTACCTGCGCGCGTAAGGGGCTAGGGGGAAGCACCCGCGCGGAAGCACCCTGCGCAGCGCGTACAATGGGGCAGGGCGGAAGTACCTGGGCGCGCGCGATGGCGGATCGCATGTCCTGGTGGAGGTATCGCACGCGCGTGCGACACCACACGCGGATAGCCTCTTGTCGCGGGCTGGCCGCCTGCCGGTGCGCGAACCACACCACCCACGCGCACAGCCCCACCCACAACGCCACCCACGCCGCCCCCAGCACCGCCTTTCCCACGCCGCGCCGCCGCGCACCCAGCGACGAACGCGCCAGTGACTGCCACATGGCGGCGGGGCGAGGAGGAACAGACGGGGGCGCAGCCGCGGGAGCTGAGTGGCGCATCGCGCTACTGCGATCTCACGGCTGCCGCATCGGCGGCGGACAACGAGCGCCGAGCGAGCGGCGCGCTGTGAAGCGGAGACAGAAACATCGCAAAAATTCCGAACCCAGTTTCGGTAGCGATTTTTCCGTTGTGCGAACAGTATCTTGGTTTGCTCCCGCAAACAGTATCCTTCGATCTAGCGAACCGTATACAATGGCATATGGATATGCTTTTCTGTAGTACATCTATATTGTCTGTTGGTTTTATCTTATGTTATTGTAATTCAATGAATCCAATGGTCATTGTTTCTCAATAAACTTCTCTTGTAACGTTATTCAAACATTCTACGTACAAATTACAGTCCTCTTGTACTTAATTGACCATTAGTCCAACAAATTGAAAATTAACCATATTCATTCCAACATAATAATGAATAACTTCTCCCTACCAATTGTTGAAGGCAATGTAGCCGCACATCAGCATGCTACTCAAACAGGTAGTCATTCAGCAGAAAGGTCCCTCTCCTTTCGAAGGACTCAACAATGTGGACAGCACGATAAATAGTGTCCACATCTATGATATCCCGGTACAACCTCCTGGTGCCGGGGAACTTTGCCCACTCGAGAGCCTTGCATCCGGTCACCGCATCATCCATACGCTCTTCGTAATACTGCACATAGGCCCACCTCTTCTCACACTGCGAGTGCTTGAACAGCAGAAGCACCTCGCCATACCAAACCTCTCCCTCCCCACCCCTGATTGCCACGTGAGAGAACCATGGGTCACCATGGTGCGACGGGTTTGCACGCACGAAGTGAGTGGCCCTGGAGTCGTGCGGTCCAGAACCGGCAGGCACCGCTGCCGCGGTGAAGACCTGCAGAGGCAGCAGGGGGTGGAATATGGGGCAATAGCAGATATCAAGTCCAGCACTTGGGGTGAATGAAGGAGCGCCTGGGGCAAGGGAGACGAATCAGAGGAGGTAAAGGCAAGTGTAAATTGAATGGGGGGGGCAGCGGTGTAGGGAGATACGGTAGAGGTGGTGAATGCAAGTGCGGCAGAGAGAAAGGAGGGGCAGCGGGGTAGGGAGATGCGGCAGAGGTGGTGAATGCGAGTGCGGCAGAGAGAAAATGAGGGGCACTGGGGTAGGGAGATGCGGCAGAGGAGGTGAATGCAAGTGCGGGAGGGAGGAAAGGAGGGGCAGCGGGCGAGGGAGATGCGGCAGAGGTGGTGAATGCAAGTGCGGCAGAGAGAAAATGAGGGGCAGCGGGGTAGGGAGATGCGGCAGAGGTGGTAAATGCAAGTGTGGCAGAGAGAAAATGAGGGGCAGCGGGGTAGGGAGATGCAGCAGAGGTGGTGAATGCAAGTGTGGCAGAGAGAAAATGAGGGGCAGCGGGGTAGGGAGATGCGGCAGAGGTGGTGAATGCAAGTGCGGCAGAGAGAAAATGAGGGGCAGCGGGGTAGGGAGATGCGACAGAGGTGGTGAATGCAAGTGTGGCAGAGTGGAAAGGAGAGGGGCAGCGGGGTAGGGAGATGCAGCAGAGGTGGGAGGAAAGGGTGAACTGAGATGGGGCATAGGAAGGGGGCAGCTCACATGAAGGGTGGGGGAGGTGATGCCGAAGTTCACTAGGTCGTCCTGCAGGGTATCCAGGCGGCCTCCGAGAGCAGTGTTGTACAGCGCACGTTGGTTCGTATTGCCTTGACGATACGTGCTCTCAGCCATGTGAAAGACCACGTGCGTCCTTAAAAAAACCCGATGCCCTGTGGTTTCCGCCTGGGAAAGCGGGTAGGGGATTTGTGGGAGGTTTTGGCTTGAATCTAGAGCATGGGGAGGACGGCAAAGGAATTGGATTACAGGGAAATCAGGGGGAGCAGAGGGGCGGGACGGAGACTATGCGACGAACCTCGTAGAACGAAGAGTTGTACTCCCGTTCTTCCTTGATGTCGCTCTCCACCTGAGCCAGCATGAGGGCAAATTGATTGCTCCTGATGATGGACTCAGTCCACTAGCGGCGGTTAGACGCTCGATAGGGCCGCTTGACTGTGTTCTTGTGGAAGTGTTCGTACATGTTCGTTGAGTATTCCTCTGGCAGCCCTCCCCTCCGAATTGCGTCAGCATAGTGCCCCACCATGTGCACTTTAATAATCTGCCACGAAGATCCTTGGTCCGGGAATGCCGCCTTCAGTTTCTCGAGCATCCTGGAGGGTAGAAAGTATCAGGGTGTATAACCATCTAAGGTGAGTTGAGCGCGGATTCAATCTAAAAGCAGGGAGAGATAAGGGCAGCGGAAGTTAGGGCAGCAGGGTGTTGTGAGAAAGGGACAGAAAGATCTGTGTGTATAAGGGTGCCCAGAGAGGGTGGGGGGGATGGTGGAAGGACAATCGTGCACAAGGCCCTCAATCGGTCAAAGCCAGCAACAATGGCGGAAACCAAATGAAAGGAAGGAAAGAATGGAATAGAGGGGAGGGGGGGGCGGGGGGGGGAGGGGATATGGGTACGGGGTTAGGTTAAAAGTAGACGTGAGGCAATATTTCAATGGTAAACGATCAGGACATCACATCTCACCTGTAAGCCAGTCGATCCATGTCGGCAAGGCTGTCATCGGTGTGGAAACGAGGGCGGAAGGTGGCCTTGTACCAGCGTAGGAAGGCCTTGACAGTGTCAAGGTGCTTTGTCTCAACAAGTCCTTCCAAAATGTAGATCGAAACCTGCATTACTGCCCTATGCTCTGCAGCGGACACTTTTGCACCTGACTGGAAATATGTCCCCGAAGCGGGCAGATTCAGGCCAGCGATGCGGCCGTGGGACCAAAACCACTTAAGTCTCCTGGATAAGGGGGTGGGGTCATAGGTTTTGGGGCGGTGCAGTGCGGTTCTTAGCACAATCCAGACGGTTTCCGTACAAGCAGCCTCCAAACCGAGACAGGGCTAGTTTGCAAGCAGCATCATGGTTAGCATAGCATTAATCACTCACGCGTCAAGCTTGCCGTTTTGGGCATTAGGCAGAGTGGCGATGGCATTACGGATGTGAGTCCAGATCCCGACATCAGCTTGGTGAAGCACGTCTGGCATAAGCGCCAGGTAGGGGTTTCCCCAATCGGTCTCCGAGTACTTGAAATCCCATATGAAAGGCTGATTGGCAGGGCAGCAAAATGACACTTTATTTCTATCAATAGTCATCCGGTTCTATCTTAACCAACTATGCTCATAGCCCAATTCTGTGAACCAAATGAGCTGAATCGTTGACTTGATATAGTTATTGCACAGGGGTAGGCCGAGGACAGTTCAAAACGTGCTTGGATTGATGAGTTGATGACGAAATGGCACTGTCTTAACCAATGAGCGTGGTTACTCCGAAATCTATTTCTAGTTTAATCAACTATGCACATAGCCCAATTCTGTGAACCAAATGAGCTGAATCGTTGACAGAATATAGTTATTGCACAGGGATAGGCCGAGGACAGTTCAAACCGTGCTTGGCTTGATGAGTTAATGACGAAATGGCACTGTCTTAATCAATTAGCGTGGTTACTCCAAAATCCCCTTCTAGTCTAATCAACTATGCTCTTAGCCCAATTCTGTGAGCTGAATGAGCTGCATTGTTTACTGGTGGTTGTTACTGCACAAGGCTAGGCCTTGGAAACTTCAAACCGTGCTTGAATTGACGCATTATTGACGAAATGGCACTGTTTTTTTAACAATGCACATGTTTGCTCCAAAATCCCCGTTTACGTTAGTCAACTGTGCTCATAGCCCAAAACCATCAACCAAGTGAGCTGCAATATTTACTAGAGGTTGGTTTTGCATAGTGTTAGGCCCTGGTTGATTCAAGCCTTGCTTAAATAGTTGCTTTATTGACAAAACGACACTAGACTCTAAGAAGGGTGTTGTTTTGTCCCAAAAGCAGGGTTTCGAACCAAACTAGTGCTGTAAAACACGACATTGTAGCATTGCAGGACTCCAGGGATCATACAAAGGCACATACCAAACGTCTCACAAAACCATTGAAACTGGCAACTTTCTTACAAAACCAGGTTGCACTCAAGGAGTGCACCATTGGCCGAGCTCATAGAAGCGATGTTTGGTGAAGTTGTGGATTTTAAAAAATCCACCCCAAAATGTCCCAGAGCACTAATTAAGCTGTAAAACCCGAATTCATCTCAATTCCCACAAGATCTGGCACATTAGGTTGACGAGTTTGCTCATAACGACCTCCGTCGACAGGCATACCCTTTCATTGCCCCCCCCTTAAAAAAAATGAATTTTGCACTACAGTAAAGAACATCATAGTGGTATGTATGTCTTGTAAGTACCGTGTATTATAAAGTCATATAGTTTGGCTTCAAAATCCCATTTTCAAAATGTTTGGCATTATACTGACCGTATTCTCTATTCGAACAGTTTTCTTCATAAGTTGTGTACCTCACGTTTATGCGTATGAATACTTCAGTGCCCTGCGGCCTCGCTCTGGGCTGCAGCAATGTGGAAGGCTGGCAGACTAACCTTCCAACTTGTCGTATCTTTGAACAGCGCAACACAAATGCTCGACGAATGAACAGTACAGTGTGAGGTCGACAAGAGTGTAACGTGGCAGCTGTTGTCCACATTCGCCGACGCTGGCAACATACACGTCATGAACCAGAAACGTTCTGGGTGTAGGGTCTCTGTGGAATCGAGGCTGTTTGTGATTGGCCAAAGTAGCAGACACTTCGACTACAGTAATCGTATTCCTTGCCGTACAAACAGTGGCTAGCATTTTATGGCTGGCCTAATAGACGGCTAAGATCAGTTTTGAAATTTCATCTGACGATTGAAATGAACCACTTGCTGCTCGTGGCGAGAGTGCATCCTGGTTGCAGCAATTGACGGTCACGATCATTCCTTGATGGTTGGGTTTCCTAAACCCTGCGAAATCCACGGGCCAAGCCCTTGACTGGTCCGAATGGCCACGATTGAAGATTGGGTTTAATCGTGTGGTTCTCGCAACTTCTGTTTCATTTGCTTGTTCAAACTTCGAGTTTCAAACACCCAAACTCGCCCTCCGTAAAGCAGAACGGCTGCAGCGATCAGTCTTCCGTCATTTTTGGTGTCTTAGCGGGCCTCCGCGCCACTTCACTTCCCGCCAGTTTAGACAGGCTTGTTAACTCCCGCCATTTCATCTAAACCACTGAACGCTACCCGGCCTATTTCCGAGCCTTACCGCCAAGTCTTCAGTCGTCCAATCCACATTCGCCCCTCATATCACCAGTCATGC